TCCACCCTATTGTCTTAATATGGTCATTTATGGCCCAAATAAACAAGATGACGAGGCTGAAATGAAACCAATAGGTGACCTCACAGTGGCTATGTCCATTATTTTATACAGTCTGTGGTTTGAACCAGTCTGACAGCATCCAATCCAGGATTGCAGAGATGAAGAATTAGTGTTAAGTTTCAAAAAATTATTTCATGCGCGTAAAAAAAACAACCCTCGCCTATGGTCATGAGTTCTGAGTAGTGACTGACAGAATGCGATCGCGGATACAAGTGGCCAAAATGAGTTTAATTTGGAAGAAGGACATCTGGAAGGAGCTCAAAGTAGAGCCGCTGCTCCTTCGCATTGAAAAGGGTCAGTTGAGGTGGTTTGGGCATCTAATAAGGATGAGATGCCTCCTGGGTGCCTCCTGTTAGAGGTGTTGTGGGCAAGGACATGCTGGAGTGATTACATACCTCATCTGGCCTGGGAACACCTTGGGGTCCCCCAGGAGGAGCTGGAAAGTGTTGCTGGGGAGAGGGAAATCTGGGGTGCTTTGCTTGGCCTGCTGCCCCCATGACCCAGCCCCAGATAAGTGGATGAATATGAAGGACTGATGGAAGGACATGGGAGTTGACTCTTGACTTTTCAGTCTTACATGTGACTTGCACCACACTGACTTTGTCCCACCTCTGATTTTTCTTATCACATTACACACTTGGTCTTTAAGGGCACCAATATTATAAATAATGTTTTTTTTTTAATTATTGTATTCCAGCCCGGTTTCAAAGGAGGAACTGATTTCAATCCCAGAGTTCTCACCAGTCAATGAAATCCAGCCGAGCAGTGTGAGTAACACCCGTGCTCTTGAGGACCTGATGGACCTGACAGGCAGTGTCACCTACCCGAAACTGTCCTCTGAAAGCAACATAGGTGACTGCAACAAAAACCTCATTGAGGGTGTTGTTAGTCCCATGTCAGACTCAAAGCTCATTGGGATGTCGGCGCCATCCTCAAATAAACTTAGCATCCAGTAGTCCGTTACGCTCTCTCTTTTCTTTCTCTGTCGCTTGTCTTCTCTTTCTCTCTTCCCTCTGTCTGTCACACACACAAATCTTCACAGGACGTCACATTTGGAGTGTGTGCCCTTGTGTCACTCCATTTATGGGAATAGAGCCATAGAGATTGACTTAAAAAAAGTAAACTTGCAATATAAGGAAAACATACATTCTATATTCTAACCACATAGCAACTGATCATTGAAAGTCTGTGTCAAAGATTTTGTGTAATCTGCAGTTCTTGTTACAAGGACAAGTGTGTGTGTGCAACATGAGCACATGTGAGAGCAGTCAGGGAGAGAGAGTGTGTCTGTGTGTGAAATAATGACAAAAAATGACAAATATCAGGGTTTTCAATATAGGAATTTAGAAAACACATTATTGCTAATGTATGGTCATAATATCTAATTTTCCCTGTGTAGATTCCTCACTGGGTCCCAGTTCAGTCCCAGTATAGGGGTGACAAAGCCTGATTAGAGCACTGACTATTGCATTTATACCTCTGCCTTTCCACATGCCCTCTTTAGCCTTTAAATCTGATTCAGTATGTTGCTGGGAAGGGCATGATGATGATTTCATTATGATGAAAGCCTACTTTTTAATACTTGAAAAAGGTCCTTCCCATGTAATGTAATTCATGCATGTGCTGATGACTGATTTGGTTGGAATTTAATGCATTTATCCCGCAAACTAAACTCCAGCAGGTCTCGTTCACTCTTCTCTAACCCAGCGAGGTCTGATCATGGGATTGTTCACATTTTTAACGTCGTGGCAATGAGATGATTTCCCTTTATCCTTTTTTATTCTTTAACTGGGACTTTCTAACTGCACGTGAGTGAGGACGATGATTCCAAAGCTGTCAATCTGAACGTTATCGTACACTGAGAAAATCATGGCATCAACACAAATGATGGCACATACCTATACTACATGTTTGTTGCAGACTAGAGTAAATTGCTAACTATGACTCAATTGCGAATATACAGTAACTGCATTCATAAAAGCTTACTGAACTGGCAGGGTGGCCATTTTTCCAATGACTCCAATGATGAAATGGGTTTCCAGCGATAAAAATACTGACAGCTTAGCAGCTTCATGTCATTTAAAGATGTTCTATAGGTGTGCCTTGCTATGTAAAGGGTTTCCAAGACACAACTGATGCATCAATCTATTAGACATACAGTAACATACAGTAACATACAGCACATAGATTCCAATCAGTAGATATCTGGCTGCTGATGTGTGACTGAAGTGCACTGAGGCAGGAATGTTTGCTTAACAATCAACTTGTAGCTATAAAGATGCTGTTACAGTTCTCCTTTCATGATGTTGTACTGTTTGGTCCTGTGGGGATTATCCAGTGGGCTCCTTTAACTTCTTGAGCCAATTCATAAAATTACTACTAATTGCAATTTTTCTGTGTCATGTCTAAATGTAATTTCAGCAGAGATGCCTTATGAGGGACTGATTAGGTACTGAAATTTTGTGCAAACTGTTTTAAAGTCTTCTGGCTGTGTATGTTTCTCCTTTCTGGCCACTGGGATTGTTGTGTGTGACCTGTAATACTTGAACCTTGGTTTGAAATGCTTCATCTCCACCATGCAGACAACAAATTACTGTAACAGCTTATACACATTGTTATGCAACTTATAAAGGGACATTTAGATTTGTTCTCCTTAGACCATACGTAGCCTGGAGAGACAGAGGCTTTCTAAATTGTCTTAAGTGAATTAACCTTATATGTATGTTACATACAGTATTTGAAAGTTAGGATTTGCTGTATATTTTGCATATTCGAATACCGCTGTACCACGCTGGCTAAATTACACTTTTTTTTTCTTTTTTTTTTTTTGCAAAGGGGATGATTTTAAGGAAATGCAAACGATTCAGAAATGATACAGTATAAACAACCACTTTGAAAAGTATTTAAGTTTGCTCTGACCCATATTTCAAAGCAGTCTATCACAGTTAGCTTAACTCCTGAGTTATGTAATTACTGTAGACATTGTGCATGGTTAGCATGGTCACAACAATGTTATCTAAAACAATAAAATGTAAAACTGGGTATTGTGTGTTTTTGTAATGTGTTAATGTGTGTTTGTGTTAAGTAGGTAATACGGGGAAATGTTGATCATGTCTGGAAAACAAACATGAAGTGAGATGAAGAAAGAGATGGAAGACTCCAGAGAAAGAGAATGAGATGTAGAAAGAAAAAAAACACTTGATTGGTGAATCCAGAGCATGCACATATAAGTGTACAGTAATTAAAAGTATAAACGTGACCATAAAGCACCTGGGAAGAAGCTGCACTTTAGCCTAGTTGTTCTGGATTTGAAGCTGTGCAGCCTTCTGCCTGAGGGGACGGGGGTGAAAAGTTTGTGTGCTGGGTGGGTGGAGTCCTTTATGATACATGACGCTCTGCTTCTTCACCTGCTGACAAAAATGTCCTCCAAGGAAAGGAGGCTGCTGCTGGTTATTTTTTCAGCAGATTTCATCAGTCATTGCAGTGCTTTCCTGTCAAAGCAGTTCCCACACCAAACAGTGATGAAGGATTTCAGTATGCTCTCCACCACACACCGGTAAAGAGAGGTCAGGCAGCAGGGCTGAGGCAGTCCCGCTTCAGTCTCCTCAAAAAGTATAAGCATCAGTGGGCCTTCGTTATGATGCTGGCTGTGTTGGTAGCCCACATGAACTTGTTGGAGATGTGCAGGCCCAGGTATTTGAAGGTGGACACCATCTCCACAGCTGCTCCTCTGATGAAGAGGGGAGAGAGGTGTGTGGCCTCCCCTCCCAAAGTTCACAACCATCTCCTTATTCTTCCCCACATTGATGCAGAGATTCTGAAGTTCTTCCACCTCCTGGCTGTACACAGACTCATTGTTGTTTGAGATCAGTCCAACCACAGCTGTGTCATCTGCAAACTTCACTATATGATTGCTCAAGTACCTTGCAGAGCAATCATATTATATGCGAGGAGCGTGTATAGCAGGGGGCTCAGGACACATCCTGTGGGAAGCTAAAACATATCAACAGGCGTAGATTACAAAAAACCCCACTAAAGTACAAACACTTTCACATACATATATTTACAGCTTTTCTAAAAAGTAAAAGTATTTTGTGACACACACTTGGTGTGTCAGTTGGGTCCCGTTTGGGAGAATCGATATAACTGAGATTAACAACATTGTTGTGGAAAAATTACCAAATATGAAAGTATGCGAATGACATCATGTGTAACAATAGTCGCTACTTGTATGAATGTGTGATTCATCCATGGTAATGGTTTAAATATTTTTAAAAGATCACAGGGTCCTTGACTGGCTGCGTGCAAGCATGCGAGGAGGCTCGATGATGTCTGAAGGTTAAGATACTGTAAGACGAAGACCTTGTAGATGTTCAGAATCTGATGTTAAACAAGTTGGACCAAGGATTAGGCTACACATGCTTCCGGATGACATGTGAAATACACTACACAAGGCTCAAACATTATCCTGTCACTTTAAGTTTTTGGTGTGGCTGTGTCCATGCATACGTCTACACATTGTAGTAAGAGCCTCTTTGACATTAGATTTGTGATGTATTAAACTTACATTCAAGTAAGATCAACTATGGCTCAACAAGTTTATTTCAATATTCATCAAAATGAAAACTGACCAAGAGCAAAAGTTTTTCCACATCAACATTTTTGTAAAGCATTGCTGTCCCAGTGGGAATAGCTAAAAAAACTGAAAATGAAAATAACTTCTATGTTAACAGGCAACCCTTGCTTTTAGAAAACTGTCTCATTAATATATTATTTATTCATTTACATAAGGACTTATTTTGACACAATATATAATTATCATATCAAATAAAATAACTGTGAAAAATGAAAGATAATACCCTGACCTTCAAGCCTTCTCCCCAGACATGTACTACCCAACCGGGGCAGTAGGTGGCGCTTCAGTTTTGCCGTGTTGAAGATCGGGGCGTTGCGAACACGAAGGAGTAGAAGAAGTAGAAGAGCAGCTGAACTGTGTCGCACGTACCTTCCACTTAATCGACGGTTTGTCTTCGGTGAGTATTTAGCTAAATTATTTAATTACACATATCGGTAATGAGAGTTAACATTTGGAGATTTATTTTTGTCTTACTTGTCGCCAAAATGTTAAAATGACTCACATTGTCAGTGGCCTTTTCTGGGAGCTGCAAGCGGAACACCCAGGCTAACGTTAGCTAACTGGCCTTAGCATAGAAAAGGTTGTTAGCGTTAGCTCAGCCTGCTTTTCTGTGTGTTGCTAAATTTAAACCAACCCGAAACATTGTGGTGGGTTACTTTACTAACGTCTGATATGCTTACCGTTGCCGTGTAGGGGCTGTGTTTTACCCGCATAAAGGACATATTGTCTGTCTGGGTCGTGTTATTTGTCTCAGTCGACTGTTAGTCGCTCATACTAAAAATGGAAGCACGACCTGCCCAGATTCCTCATCAGCAGGATCAGGACTGAAACTGACCCCACGGCGACCATAGAAATACATTCAACCTAAACTAAAGCTCCTTTTCTAAGCAGTCTCATTTGGTTACACGTTTGAGCTTGTCATCTTGTTTGAAATATTAAATAATAAGTATTAAATAAGCAAACTACTAAACGAGGTGTTACAGTTTCCACTTTGATCTTGTGTCTGTTAACATTAGATCCGTGTCCATACTTAACTGTTGACATAGGCAAGTCTGAATGCCATTTTAGTTGTTAGGACACTAATTTATCGCCACATACGCCAGGAAAAGTTGACACATTTGCATGTGAAAATGTTACTTATATGTTATATTTTGTTATCTTTTCGGTGGCTTTCTGGCCAATTCAGCCTACTCTCGTTACACGTGGTCTGCGAAATGTATTTAGGAGAAGATGAATTGTAGTAATTTGTAGTGTCTTGTTTTACATGTGTTAGTTTTCAAGTAAAAATTGCTCAACACTGAGGACAAGCACGTGGACAAACCTGTTGTTTGGATGCTTGTTGCTACAACATTAACAGGGAATTGAAGTTTGTCTGAGACAAGCTAGAGGACTTGCTCTAACCATGCATGGAAACGTGCACTTTATTTAAACATCTGCTCTATAGCAATCTATCTATAGATAGTCATGTTGTATTAAGTATCACTGGAGTGAGAGGGTGTCTGTTTGAAAGAGGGCAGCTGGGATACAGGCTAATCTGTCCTTTTATCTGAATAGCACTGATTAGGTTAAGTGACTGGACTTTAATCTCTGGTTAATAGTTAACATGTTGCTTTAAGTTAGCTTATCAATATTAAGGATTAACTGTAAAAGAAACATGCACTTTGAACTATTACCTTTGAGTTGTTTGAGTTTGCACATTTGATTTACAATTTTTACTGCAGCTTGCATGATATTATTAATTTAACAGCTAAATACTACGCTGTTAAATATGTACTAATAATCTGAAATGTATTGTTCAGTCAATTTTATTGTGATATGTTCTTCAACAGCACTGTAACATTACTTGTCAAAAATCAGTAATATTTTTTAATAGTTATTTAAATTAGGCTTTTGCTTGTTTTCATACCATCTGTTTTAAGTCACATGTACTCTGTGTAAATGTTTATAATTTGCAAAGTATACCATAGTATTTGTGATTTTTGAGTGCATTCTAATATGAGTGACAAATAGAAGGTGAGTAAAAGTAAGAAAACTTACGCCCTACTACACGCCCTTTTCTCAACGATAAAATCAAATTCATTCCCCAGTTTTGTTTCCCATCTGCCTATTTTGTTTCATTGGGAAATTCGTCACAATACTGAAATTAGATACTCTCAAAATGCTGTTTTCATGTGGACTTTAAGGCTGTCAAACCTCAACATGGTTTCTTTTTTGTCTTTTAGATTGTAAACTCACTTCCAGAGATGGTTCGACCACATTTTGGACCACCACGTTTGAAGCCCAGGTAATGTGTTTTGATTATCTCAAGTGGCGCTCGGATACTACTGGTGTTGTATTCATGATAATTAAATATTTTCTTGTGCGTACCATTAGTGATTTAAGATAGAACCTGACCCTTGTTTTTACAAAATTATGGTATATTTAAAGTGGCATTCTGTGTTTTAATCCACAAAATTCTCTTTTTTTTGTGTCCTATCAGACCTTACGAAGACGGTCATGGCATGGGATCTAGTGAAGGAAATTATAACCCCAACTCCAAGGGTCGAAGAGATGTCCAGGGCTACCCAGCAAAGGCCCCTTTTCACTGGAGAGATTCCAGAGGTAGAGGACGACCCCCAGTTGTCAAAAGAGTCCCCCTAATGGGAGAGCAGAGGGAGCCACGTTTCAACCACTGGAAGTCCCAGAATCAGGATTCCTTTCAATCATACCCTCCCAAAATGGAACCCCACAATAGCCAGAGGAGGCCTTCCCCAGCTAGGCCAAACCGCTCCCCCCATGTCCAGCATCACTCATCCTCTCGCAGTCCCGCACAAGGATCCATGAGTCAAAGGGGCCCCCCCTTCCATGGCCACCCCTCAGGTCACAGGTCACCCTCCCCAAGACATTTTCGCAACCACCCAGCTGACAGGAGGCCCGACTCTGCACCAGCCTACCAGGGGTCTTTCAGGGGCCCCAAAAGGCAGTCAGGTTTTCAGCATCAGGAGCAGCGGAATCGAGACTCTCGTGGGAATTACAGTCCTAGAGAAAGGCCCTATGAGCACACAGGTCATGGCATGAAGCGCTGGAACGAGGCTGGAGCGTTCTCTCATCCACACAATGGAGAACATGGGCACTCTGGGTCACAGAGGAACCCCAGAGAGATGCATGGGAGAGGCTCATGTCCAGAGAGGTACAGGAGTGAAGCAACAACCCCAGCTGGGTAAAATTATTAAAGAGGAGGCCTGAAGCTGGCCCAGTCTTCCCAGTCACTGGGGTCGTATTATTACCTCTAATCTGCCCCAGCTCATAATTATTAGAGGGGATTAATGGGGGTCTGATGTAAATGTGGTTTCATCTGCCATTGAAAGGAGTTGCTGCAGCTGTAATTGCTCTTTGAAAATTTACTTCTCCTACCTGTTTCATTCTGTCATGGCATTATGAAGGGTCTGCATTAAGATAAAAGTTAAAAGTTCCGCCTCCCACTTAACATGGCAGTGGATCTATCATTGTAACGATTTCTCTATTGTTTGATGGATATGCAGGTGGTCATCTGAGCAAGACTCCAGACGGCAACGTGGTCCAGTGGAGAGGCAGGGCAGCAGATCTCACAGTAGAGAGAGGGCACAGGAAGTCCCTCACCCACCCCCTTTCAGATCCCCCTCATGGAAAGGAGGTCCAATGCCGTCATCTTCCTACCACAGGAGCCCTCAGGAGAGGCATGTGGCAGGACCCCGCAAGAGGAGGATATCAGACATCAGCATGCCCTCCTCAGACCCTGCACTGGAGCATGGCAATCAAAAACAACCCAGGAGAGAGAGGCCTCAGCTGCTCAGTATTCCCAGGCCATTCGGTGGTAGACCTTTGTCTCTTAGGGATAAAAGTTACCTGGTCAAGAGCCGACAAGTCAGAGCAGAGTCTCTCATGAGACTCAGAATACCTCCATCTGTAAGACCCCGGCCTCACCTGGGCGACTCTGCCCCACGGGGAAATTTCAGCTCTGTTCTTGCTATCAGGAAGAAGCGTTTCCAGTCAAATGCAGTTCCCCTGAAAAGGTTTGAACCACGGAGGGGAAAACCACAACAGTCACCCCCCAGAGAAGAAAGCAATGCCAGCAAGTCCTCAAGAGACTCTGATACAGGCAAAGAACAGGTGGAGTCTCGCCGGTCCTTGAACACACACAGGTACGGTATTTTCCTTCTAGCACTGTTCGCAGGGGCTTGATGATGATTAAGAGGTCAAGACAGAATGTCACTATGTGAAGGGGGTGCCAGCTTTGGAAAATGGAGATATCGTGATGAGCTAAATGTGCAACACTGATTCAGTTGATGAAAAGCTGCAAAGCTGTTTTCAAATGCCTCCCTGTCTATATCGTCCTGTGAAGTGGGCTGAAGAGAAAGTGCTAAGTTACTCACCATATCGATAAAGCCAACCTGTTTAAAACCTGAGAAATGCTTAATGCCCCTGATGAGGAGTGTGGAAAAATTAGTTGATCAGTGCTGTTGAAGGATTCCTCAGTCTGTCAGCATTACGCTTGAAAGAAGTGCTCTTCAGCATGTTGTGAAGACCCCTTCATCCTCATTAGAGAACAACCGCAACGCAACACATTGTGTAAAACAGCATATCTGTGTTTGGAAAATGAGGGCGTGAAGAGGACTGAACTTAACATGATCTAAACTGAAATTGCTGTGCTGCCCCTTTTGAAATTATTGGCAACATGTCAACCAGTCAAGGACCAGGGGAAAAGAGATACATCAAATGTTCAACATTGAACTTCACTAGTTAAAACATGAATGAGCAAAATTGCAAGTCAAGTGGCATGTATGATCACAGGATCCAAAAACAAAGGTAGTCTGAGCTGTGACACTTTGTTATACTTGGAATATAATCCCAGTATCAAGATGGATGACGATGATTGTTGGTGACAACTGAAACGACAAAAGCCAGAAAACAATGGAGAGGGATGTCTGTTGAAGGACATAGGTAGCCACCTGAGTTACATCATTCATTTTTATACTCATAAATTATCTAGTACATGACTTAAATGCAAAGATGAATATTTCTGACTCCATTGTGTATGCACATCAAATTACCAATGCAACATGTCTTTTTATGAAGTCTCAGTAAGGTTATAATAGACATTAAACAACATTAAAATCAAGTATGCCAAGACAAAGAAATCTGCATACAATTGATCTTCACAGTTGATTTTTGTTTTTACTAATACAGTACTTCAATTACCATATTGAGGAATTTTGAACGTCACACATTCACCGGATGCTTACCTACTTGTATGTGTACATCAAAGACGGGAGTAATACCCAATTTGTGTGTTGCATCAGAAGTGGAGTTTGGAAGTGGGAATCTTGCGGTGTACAGAGTTAATTCCAGAAAGATTTGCCAGACAGTCAAATACACGAATCTGCACCAGCGGAAGTGTGAAACCTCGTGGATGGTCATCATTCCCGTTGAGCAGAACGAAGAGGAGCCAAAATACTTCTTGCACTTCATACAGTGCATCAAAGTACTGGAATTTTCATTCTTCATGAAAACTTAGAGGACACATTCAGACATCCATCAAGCATTAACCATGTCAAGGCCGGAGAATCATCTTGAAGTATTTTGATGAAATGCACCAGCGATCATAATGTCGACTTTTGCATGCGTCTGCGACCTCAAAGCAATTATTTGGCCTTCTCTGTTGTAATCATATCTACAATGCCTGCAGTGAAAAGGGCCTTGATGTGTCATTGTGAAAAGCTGGGAAAAAATAATGTATGAAGTGGCTGAGAACACAAAAGAAGACTCTTCATCAAACTTTAAAAGTGACAAGACACAAATATGAAACAAGACCAACTTAAGAAAAGGGATTTTAAACAGATGAGTACATGAAGAAAAGAGTGACCAGAATTCTAACTTGATGCTACATAGAGAGAGAAGCAAGATCTGTTTGGTCCCGCCTCTGTTATATTCTTCACCTGGTATGCATTTGTGCCAGACTCACAGGTCAGCATGTGCTGTGGTCAGTTCCTGTGTCTAATCTGACGTGTGACCCAAAATCAAAATATTCAGTAGCCATCTTACAAGGCGAAGTGACAAAGTCCACAGCACCCAAAGTCTAACCCAAACTAGCATATCTCAGCCTGTGAAGACATTGCCTATTATGATGGACAAAAGATCAGTCAACTCTCCGCACTTTATCTGCTGTAACTTAAAACTACTGTATGAAGAGGACAGTGTTCGTTCCTTGACTGTATTTTACTTCAGAACCGATCAGATGACCATCTTCATTAACCCCTGCTTTTTCCTTCATCACGCCCAATGCCCCAAATGTTAAGAAGAGAAGGAGATTTAAAGGAGTAGAAGTCTCACTTGTGGGCACTGCAAAGCCTTTGGTCAGTTGCCTTGAAACCTGAAACCGTGTTAATAGGCAGACAAACACCGGATTGTCTCTTAACACCACTGCACAGCTATGGAGAAGAAGCTTTGAAGCTGATGACATCACCATCTTGGATATATTCAGTTCAGAACTACAGCTGTCTCCAAGATTCAAGTCTCATGAAACCTTTTGGATGACGATGATTGAAGACAACTAAGGAAATGACAGGAAACGTCCTGATGAAAAAAACCCTCTGAAGTTCACTCTGTTGGAGAAAACAAAGCATTGTCCTCCTGCACTTCTGAGAGAGGAATCATAGAAGATTTGGTGATGTGATCTAGACCGATATCTTAAAGTTGTCTCCAAGATTTGCCAGCTCTAACGATCACTGAGTAAATGGAGAGCACTCAGATTGATTCAGGGTACAAAAATAGGAGTAAAGAAGCATGGACATTCCATGGTTTTTGTAAGTACCAATGTGATGAGTGGCTTTATGATCATTTGTCTGCCTGCAAAACAGTGCTGTTCATTACTGGTTTAAATTGTATTACTTCTAAGAGTTCACAAGGTGATTTAATCTCTTACTTTCTTCCTTTTAAACACAGTGAAAACATGAATGACATTATTTTTATGTAACCAGACCATATTTAAGATGTTCATACACTGATGTACACCTTATACTGTGATAGAAATGCTGATGTCATTAACACTGTCTCCACTTATCTTTCCCCAGATCTTCTCCCATAGAGAAACGTGACCTTGTTGTTTTGTCCCACTGGCCACCTGGGCCGAGCTCCTCCTCTAAGGATGGCTCACCTATGAAAGATCGCAGCCCAAAGCCAAAGAGCGGTAAGTCAGTTCTTTTCCCTCAATCAGTATCGAATGTACAAATTGTTTTAATCATTTTAAATTCCTTTATTGTTATATAGGTTGAAAACTGTCATTTAGCTGCTGGGTTAATCATCTCTTCTCCTTGTTGTAGAACACGGTTCCGATCAAGAGGGGGCATCGAACAGCCGACTCTCAAAGACAAATGATTCCAGATCATCGCCTGAAGACCGAAGACGTGGCTATATGGATAAGAGAGTGTTTAGGTACATTTCATAGAATCAGCTTTTCTCAGTGTTTTAAACAAGGTTGTTTCATTAGGGAGTACAGTGTTTTCCAGTATGTGAAATGTAAGCTTTATGCAGTATTTCTGATGTTCCTTTATATCTTTACAGGCCTTTTAATGTGATGCAGGACAACCAGAGACCTGGGAGGCCTTTCAAGAGACCAGGACCCATGCAGGTGAGTGAAACATTTATTGCGTAAGGCCGTGCAGAGCATGTGCCTCTGTATATTATCATTTACAAAGAATTGGTGGTCACAAGCAAAGTGTACATACTTTAAAACAGAGCCATATGTCTCGATTCTGAAATGTTTCATTATATTCAGGTGTTACGCAAAAGCAAAATTGACTTAATGAAAGGGAGTGAGCTGTCAGTATAGGTCTGAAGCTTAATCATGTATCCTTTTCGTAAATTCGGCCTATGAAGGCACAATGATTAACACATCTTTTTCTGCCTCCTGGATGTGTATTGGCCTCATAAATTGGAGCTCTACAGTTACAGTCGAACTCTTAACAGTAAACAACCACTTAAATACGTCAGCTTGCTTGTTTTGACAGATATAAAACCCATTCAGCTTTGTATTGTGATCACTGGACAGTGGTGTAAATATATATCTACACTGGCACGGTATTGTTTTAATTTTAGATGTTAAAGGAATAAATGAAGCCTACTGTTCGTACTCAGCCTTTGTTGTGTTTTACAGAGACCAAGGTTCATGGGTGGTCCAAGGAAGCCTGGCCCTGAACTGTCTGGAAATGTTAGACGACCACTCATGGTATGCAGACCCTCTTCAGAGATCACCCAGTGTGTCTGGGAAATGTGACATGGCTTTCTTCACAACTAATATTTTTATTTCTTATGTGTTTCATAAGGAGAGCCTAGTGCCTCGTCCCTTCCCAAATCAGAGGCCAGTGTTCAGAAAAAGTCACAGTATCATGTCCAAATATCGCACCATGAGAGTGATGCGTCAGCGAGCACCTTACAACCGAGGGCCCAACCAGCAACGCTGGTGATAACTTCTGGTAAGTTATGGTGATGTGTCGCTGTGAGGGGGCAGCAAGGCAATTTCAAGTAGGCCTATTTATTACTTCAAATGGATCGGCTGTCTTATTTATTCACTGTAAAGAAATCTTTAGTTATCATAACAAAGCAACCTGTAAGTAACTTAATAAGGTCTTTAAGAAATGTATTTAAATGAGTTTTTTTCTTGATCACAGCACATCTTTGGTGTCCTGCAGACGTGATCCCAGAAAAGGCAGAACAATCTCATGAAGATCTTTCTCACACTACAATCCCAACCTGCCTGTATATTGTGGAAGTGTTGCTTACATTTGTTCTCTGGTACAGGTGTTTCATTTGCATCTTTGAAATACTACAGTACCTTTATTTGAGAGTATTTTGTAAAATATGCCATTACATGACACAGTCCTGCTTTTTTTTTCTTGTGTTTAATTATTTGGGAGTAACTGCTTATGATCTTGGCAGTGTTCATTTTACTGAAATAGTTTTAACTTTTTCGTAGTTTACCAGCAGCAATATGTTTCAGGTTTGTGAAGTCCAAGAAACGATTACTTTGATATCTCAACTTTACATTTTGTAAAGACTTATCACATGAAATGTCCTGTTTGATTAATCATGGGTGTTTTGACTAAGAACGGTAGCTTGTCCAATGACACTTAGCTACTACTTGTAAAAGTTGTATAATCACATGTTCAGTTTATTGTCTTGAAATAAAACAGATTTAACAAGCTCTTTTTGAATTATTTTTCTTTTGCTCACAGATTTGAACAAAGGACAGAATGACTTAATCAGTAATACTGCTGTTAAGACTCATAAACCTAAAATAAATAAGAATTTTTTTTATAATTGTGAGGTGCTTAGAGTTTCCCCTAAAATTGAAGACTAGGTCATTGTAAAGATAAAAGTTATGAACAGAGCATTTTAGACCTTAAAAGAGCTCCTGAGGTGAAAAATTGTTAGTAGCTGGGAGGACTTCTGAGAGGTTTAAGAGTTTTTAAACAAAGGGGAAAATGGCAGTAAGACGAAGAGGTAGGAGAAGTATTCTCCAAACACTGGACGACTGAATAAATGAAATGCTACGGATTTGATCGTGCAGGAATAATTGTGGTCGTTGTCCGATTTTTTTCATATTTCCCACCTAATGCAGTAGCGTTACAACACCAGAAATGAAAAATGCATCAGTGCAGCAGTGATGACTTGGGTCTGTCTCAACTTTCCATCAGCAGAGTGATCACACTAACAATGACAACACTTTCACAATCAGCAGTTCATTTAATCTCCACTGGGCGTCCACACCTTGCAGGCTCATAAAGGGGTGTGTCTGTGACAACCAGTCACATCTGTTAAAAGAATGCATCATACCTAGTAATGGGGTCAACCACACCTCCTCACTTAGGTAAAAGTTTCTGTGCCTTCCTTGCTTAGAGCTGCTCTGAGAACTTTCCTTAATCACTCCTAAGCTAGGACTCAGAGTGTTCGCAGAAGTTTTGTGAAGGTTTTTTTCTTTAGCTTAAGTAACATTATAGATATGGCAATATATTTATAGTCTGTTTTTTGGAAGTAATTGGTCAGACAACTTTATTCCCTCATTTAAAGAGAGTCTGTCTCCATCATGTTCAAATGACTGATGATATAAGATACTTTATATACTATATAGATAAAGGAGAAGTGATTTCAGGATATTGCAGAATTCCCTGAAAATACTTGAAGTCATACTTCAGCAATTTAGTACTTGCCTGTCCATTAAATTGGAGAAGAGAAATTCTGAGCATGAATGGTCAAAATTGAAGCAGCAGGGGCAGAGATATTCTGACCTATAGCAAAGAGCATGGATACCAAGAGGCGAAGCGCCATTGCCTTTCTGCCAACAGCCACTAGGGGCGCTACCGCCATTTTGGACTGTTGAGCTTGGACTGTTGTGCCCAGACAACATGCAAGATGTCAAGGAGAGAGGAGAAAAAAGTAAAAGAAAACAGTGTAGTGCAATTAACTGCAACAACTATCAGTGGAACACCCCGCACCTGGCCTTCCACCGTTTCCCGAAGGATCCCGACAGAGGTGTACGTTTTAAAGTGTTTTAATATCAATTTAATATGCCAGTTTTGGTGGGAAGATAATGTGTATATACAGTCAGGTCCATAATTATTTGGACAATGATACAGTTGTCATCATTTTGGCTCTGTACACCACCACAATGGGTTTTAAATGAAACAATGAATACCTGCTTAAAGTGCAGACTCTCAGCTTTCATTTAAGGCTTTTTTCAAAAATGTAGTATGAACCGTGTAGGAATTACAACCATTAAGAAAGCTGAAGTGTTTGGGGCACCATTATCTGCTCAGATTCAACTAAATGTTTCAAAACTCATTGGACGATGCTTCACAGTGCAGATGGACATTGACCTGAAGCATACTGCAAAAGCAACCAAAGACATTTTTAAGGCAAAGAAGTGGAATGTTCTGCAATGGACAAGTCATATCATCTGACCTGAATTCAACTGAGCATGCGTTTCTCTTGCTGAAGCCAAAACTGAGGGCAAAACACCCAAAACACAAGCAGGAAGTGCAGACGGCTACAGTAAAGGGCTGGCAGAGCATCACCAGGGAAGAAACCCAGCATCTGATGATGCCTATGTGTCCAACACTTCAGGCAGTCATTGACTGTAAAGGATTTGCAACCAAGTATTAAAACTGACTGTTTAATTGATGATTATGTTAGTTTGTCCAAATACTTATGAGTCCTTAAAGTCGGGGGACTGTGTGAAGAAATGGTTGTAATTCCTACACGGTTCATACTACATTTTTGAAAAAAGCCTTAAATGAAAGCTGAGAGTCTGCACTTTAAGCAGGTATTCATTGTTTCATTTAAAACCCATTGTGGTGGTGTACAGAGCCAAAATGATGACAACTGTATCATTGTCCAAATAATTATGGACCTGACTGTATATGTATGTATATATATATATATATATATATACATACACACATATATATATATATATATATATATATATATAGGCCTATATATGGCCTCTTGGACCATTTATATCAGAACTGATTACTGCTTTTGCATTAAAATATATCAGATTAAAATAGCTTATATATTATTATTATTATTATTATTATCATTATTATAACTGTCCACTTACTGTACAAACTGTAAATAAATATTTATTCCTGACTATGTGTCGCCATTAATGTGTTTCTAGTTAAAATAGTGACTTTTTTTATTTATTTATTTATTTTTTTTGGTAGATTGGGATTGGATTGGATTTATGGGGTGAGTAATTAAGTTAATCTTCTCATAAGTGGATGTAATATGTAGAGATGCCATCTCGGCCGTTTTTCTTCGTTTTGTTTTTTTTAAAGTCTATATTTTGCTTTACAAAAACATGAAAAAGCAGCTGTGACCAAGCTATCACGAGGTGAGCAGCATTGTAAGCATAATTAATAGCGATATACTTCAGTTTGTCTGTGTGTTTTTGTACGCAAGCGGGTCTGCTGCGGTCTGCTGACGGTCCAAAATGGTGGCGATAGGACGAAACCATGGGGGAATTTGTTGCTATGGGGCGTTCTATTGAGCTTCGCCTCTTGGTATCCATGCTCTTTGCCTATAGTCATTAGTTGGGGTCAAGCTTACTGGTTCCTACATTTCCCATAATGCAATTTAGTAGAGAATTTTTTAATCATATCCCATTCCTCCTAAATACCCATTTCTTTCAAGCTTCATACCTCCAGTTTGTAACTCAGACTTTCTGTCAAAGTCTTTGGTACAAGCTGAGATAACCCTGATGACAGTGTCAGGGTCATTTAAAAAAAACTTTGCAATCTCCCTCCAGAGCCATAGAAGACATTATGTAACTGACTTCACTGACTGGATCACACTCCTTGTGATCAACAAACCGGACCTTATGTGTAACATCAGTGGAGTGTCACTGTCAGTTTAGGAAGCATTATGAAAAGCTGATCAAGACACTTGTAAGGCGTAGTTCCCAACTGGTAGGTTGCGGCCTAAACGTGGGTTGTGGGTCCATTCTGAATGGACTGCAAACAAGTCAGGTTTATAAAAAACAATATTTACTTTTAAGTACAGTGAATTTCCAGCAAAACGCTTTTATTTTAAAGTATTGTTTTCTGCTGTAAAGTGAGTGACTAATGGACAGCTACTTGACAGAGACAACAAACTGGCTTGACAACATGGCCAAACCCAGGTATGAGTGTGGACCTCAAACTAATTACTAAAGAGAAATCTGGACCCTGTGGCTGGACCACTTGGGATCCACTGTTCTAAGGTATCACAATGAAGGCAAATCCTCACCCTCACTGCTTTCTCTCTCCTGCCCAGTTTAAACATCACTTCTTGTGTAACTGCACTCGAGTTTGTCCCTTTAAAACCACCCCTCGCCCTTCAGCCTGTGATAGCCTTTGCTCTGCCCTGGTGATATTTGTGAGCAGCAGAGTGGAGCTAAACTTAGCTCTGACAGTACCACTCCTCATCACAACATACTCTGCAGAGCACAGTGGGTTACAATGGATGGTGTCGCATTACCACAGATGCTGCTGTATCTCAGCAGTGACGCTGGCCAAACAAGGTGAGTGTGTGCCCCAGATCCTTTCCTGTTACTGACAATAATCTGGTAATTAGTTTAATATGTCTACTAATGATTGTACAGTATAATCTGTCACTGTGCTCCTTTCTTCCAGCATGTGTGGCACATTTGTTCCCTGCTGTGGCATGAGAGAAACAGCTGCCTCTGCCAAATTTAGTTTAGCCTACTTTGATAAAGAATGATCTGAGTTTAATGTACAAACTGAAGTTGCTGTGGTGTCATGAAGAGCACATATGATTTAAACAAATACAGAGACTTTTTCACTTTTAAGTTCTTAGGTGTAGCATGATGTGTGACTGCACTGAGCTGACTGGTGTCTGTTGATTTCTACTCCACTGACTTGCTCCAATCTGTCGTTTGTAGATGTAGACTTAAAGACTCTGCAGGTTTTTCTGTCTTTCACTCTCTCCGCTTGTATTCCTCTCTGTCACGATGGGCAACTATAGCTCAGCCCTCATTCCTGGTAAGCCTTGCAACTATTATTGTTACAACTATCTGTTGCAACATACTTTGAAACACTCCCATGCTTGAACGCTGCATGTTAAACAGGCTGAATGTTAATGCAGGCTTTGGGATCACAACAATGTAGGTTTCTTACTGATCAAACTGCCTGCATTCTCCATAGTGATGGGTTTAGATTAGGTTGTGGGTTCTGCAAGGTGTGTTTTAACAGCTATTTTCTGTTTTCTGCAAAGACACTGAAGAGTTTGACTCAATTGTGTCGATCGCGGAGAAGCTGAATGAGCAGGTAGCTCATGTTGCAGATGAGAGGTTACAGTCAGAGCTTCAGAGTCTGGGAAGTATACACTTTTAATAATAGTTACCTAAAAGTCAAATACTGAGTTAAATACGACAGTTATATTGTGACTCACTGTATGAGAATAGTGTGTGGTGTAGTGTGTTTGTGTCCCATCTGACCTTGGGATAAATTTAACTTTTCTGAGGTGCCTCGTACACACAGCCACGTACAGTACAGTGACTACTTTAACTCCTTATTCAAAACAAGTTTAAGAGATACTTGCCTTGTCATTAATGTGAGCTATATCTTCTGAATTTTACTTAGGGGTAATTAAGTGCCCGTTAATGTCTTTTACTTATCAGATGTCTCAAACTAGACTTAACTTACAGGTAACACTCATGATGGAGGAGGAGAGGAAAGAAAACCAGAGTGAAGAGCTGGATTCTTCAACACTTCAAGAAAACACTCAGAAAACAAGCCAAAATGGTTCTGCTCTGCCTGTAAGAGAAGATTTTAAGACTTAAAACACTTTAAAATCAAAATTAAATGAGCTGTATGCGACATTCAGAGCATATCTGTAGGCCTCTTTACACAGAGCTACGAAGTCCCTTCTTCATACCACCTTTGCCTTATTACACAGCATTGAACAACGGTGCCATCATGCTGCTCCAATGTGTGATTTTAGACAGTATGCCAGCCTCGTGGAATCAAAAGAGGTGTTACGGGCGTGACATGTAACACAAAAGCATCGGCCTCCAGTGTGACACACAACATATGTGTCTGCAGTGCCTTAATAACAATGACAATAGCATAACATGGCAGTAACAACCATTTCTCTGTTATAAGGCGACTGATCTCGCCCTCTGCTCGCGGCATAAAGAGCTTCCAGACATATTTTTCCCGTTTTGTAGACATTTTTGGCCACTGTTTTTCCTCTTTGAGTTAGCTGCTAACTGCTAAATGCTACTTTTTAAATCACCCACGGTGGGTTGCATGAGTAACACATCGTCAAAACGTCACACCTGTGCTGCCCATGATCCTGTCCTGCTGGCTGTCCTGTTTATACTGATATTATTTCGGTGCTGTTACCACCTCTGATGCTGGCTTACAACGAGACATCTCTGTCCCACCTTTCCGCAATTGTACCTTTTTTACACAATAGCGAGGCGGCATAATTCATGAAATTCCCACCTTGAAGAGGCAGTGTAAAAGGGGCTTATGATGAAGTCTTAACTGGGATTGTCTGCACATGGCTCTCAACATGGAGGTGGCTGAGACAAAAGCTAACAGTGCTAACAATGGCTATTGTGACAAGGCTAACATGTTAACGTGAGGGGTGGGTGTTGCTTCTGTGGCAACACCGTTCCGCCACCTTGGGTCTGGACTGCATTATGAGCGACAGCAATTGGGATACACACACAGGGACTCACATGCACTAACATGCACATGTGACCAAACTCTACCACAACAAAGAACAGAGAAACTCGGACTGCAACACAGAGGGAGCGTGGCTTCACTCTCTGCTCATGTCGTCAAATAGCAAATAGTCGTTTTCTGCTATGTTAGCACTCTAAATGTCGTATACAGCACCTTTAATATTTCAGATTTTTGCTGTGTTGTCAGACAGTAATGTTGGGTTATTCTCTAAAGGTAGCAGCATCCAAAAGTGTGCCCACAAAGTCCTTCACCTCCCTGTTACCAAAGGCTCTCTCTGCTGTACTTCATCCGACTCTGGCCCCTGGTCCCAACTCTGACCCGCAGGCGAATAGGAATCCACCTAACCTGGAACAACTGCAGACAGAGCTGAAAGAGCTGAAGGGGCAGTTTGAAGTGATGAAGTGTCAGCACAAGTATGGCTTTGTCAATGTCAAAATCTATGTCCAGATTTTATTTCAATCTCAGCCTGGTGGGTGGGTGACATTTGCATCATTGGCTTTTTTTATGAGAGCCAACTCTAGACTTTTGGGGGCCCTGAGTGGATTTGGTTTGGGGGCCCTCCTCATTGTAACATGTTGCCACTTCATGTGGCATTGAACCAACTTGTGTATTAGTGTAAGCACACGTAATGTACAAATAAGCTTGTAGACTAAAGTGGCCTACAAGCATCTTTATCTTTAAAAGGACTAAATACAGTATTTGTCTATTACATCCCAACCCGTTGAGTGTTCCTTCTTAGGGCCTTTTGCTTGATCTGGTTAACGATTGATGCATATATTAGTGATATGGTTAAGTTTTTTACTACACTAATCTGACAATATCTTGTGTTCCAGCAAAGAAATTAAACTGCTGATGAGCGAGCTTGATGAGGAAAAAAGGATTCGCTTGACTTTACAGGTAAAGAAACAAAGACATCCATAGGCTACAGTGTGGCTGCCAGACTGTGCTAAAGCAGTGATTCTCAACGTATGTGGAATGATTTCAAGGGGACAATATTAGATTTTGTCCAGCAGTTGCAGTCATGGTTTAATCTTTTGTTTTGTTTTAGATGGAGATTCAACGAATGAAGAAGCGCATGTCTAAATGAGTGGAGAACTTCAGCATCTTCACAGACAAGTTTTAAAGGTCCTGTTGCACACTTATATATAAAAAAATCACCCTGGCTTTTGTTGTATTTTTTGGAAAAACATTTCACTTTAGTTTGTTGGAGTGGCAAAGGAGCCGGCCTAAAGGAATGAATGTTTTTATTGAGTACTTGCTCAAAGTGCACAGGTGAGGCACAGTGGTAGCAGACTTCAGGTTGACTGCTCCTCCTTGGAAACGAGCAGTGGATCTTGATGAGCTCAGTTTTTCTTTTTCTTTTTTCTGTGGATGGACTCTTAATGACTTTGGCATCTTCGGCATTCTGTTTTGGGAGAATATTTTTTAAAGTGTCGAGGTGTGTTGAAGATCATCACTTAAGAAATGCTTTTTAATCACTTTTTCCTTTATCCGACTGTGTGGAAAACATTTGACAGTAAGAGAAGAGGACATGAAAACGAGAGCCAGCAGTTCATCTGCAGTCATGTGGGCTCAGCTATTATTAGTTTATCGGCTAATAATGTAATGTGGAGACAAACACACATGGCACATGAAACTGACTGACCAAGCTGTCAGTGAATTGTTGACATGTAGAAAAAAATGTGAATTCATTAAACGTGTTACCAAATATTGACTTTTTATTAACAATTACAGATGGATCTATATACACAAATAAATATTTATAGTTACAAGTGAGGTCATATGTTACAAAATATCCATGTTTGATTAAGGAAATATCATCTAGAACATAAGTCCAGTACTTTTAATGGAAAAAAAAAATAAAAATCAGATAAAAAACAGGGATCAAAGGTTTCACTGCTTGACAATAATTGTTAATACTTTTTTTTTCAGTCTTAATGAGAAATGCGTAATTCTACGAAAAATCATTTTGGTCATCTGTCTCTCTCAGCCTTACTAAATTTTCTATTTAAACAAAAACTGACATTACTGGAATGATTTTTGGAGACAAAAATGAGAGTGATTGAGAGGAAAAGTAGAAAAAAAAGTCCACTATTTTTTTTTTCAAACAAGCCTCAATTTTGTTGTTACAGTCACAACTGAGATATCTTGTCATAATAAGTCATTGTCAGATGAACTGATTTTTGTGAACAAAAAGTCTAATTCACCCGACAATTAAAAGGTAAATACCTTCACTTTTTGGGTAATATCGAAAAAGAACAAACAGACGAATATATTTTATGATAAAAATACATATACATAATATATTACATTTCATTTTCAGATCCCAAATGACAAATGATTAGTCCTTATTGTTTTCCTGTACAATCTTGGAGGGACTGAAGAGTGTTTGAAATATCTGACGTGGTGTCCGATTTTGTCTCAGAAGTTGGATTCTTCACAGGGAATTGGCCTGAAGGTGACCTCTTTGTTGTCTTCCAGAAGGATGTCATATCGACAGAGAGGCCTGTGAAGGACAAAGTCAATATTACTGTGGTGAAAAAAGCTAAAATTATATGTCTAATAGATCAATTTTCTGAAATATATTACCCCTTTTTTAAAATAAATCAGTACGTGTTGTATACCTCTCCTTGCGTTCCAGATGTGTGAGACGTATTCGGAGAACACGGAGCTTATATTTGGGCTTGAATACATTCCCAGTGGAGAATTTTAGAGACACCTTTTTCACTGATTTAAGGTCTTTGTCAAACTGGGCAAACAACTTGGTCTCTGTGTACTTCTTGAACTTTGACGCTTTACTGAAATGAAAACAAAAAGAAATTACTGAGAGAATGCATTAATGGAGGGACAAAGAGAAGTCATTTTGGAATATTATAATTTATCATAAATAAAGTGAAGACTTACTGGTCAATGGTTGCCACTGCTTCTTTACCATCACCGTGAAGTTTAACAGTGATGTATCCCCATCGTATATCCTCGTTCCATACCATCACTTCCATCCTGTATTCTGTCCCTGAGAGAGGACATTCAAATTGTTATTCAAAAATAAGATGCCCATTGATTTAAACACAAGGAATCTGAATCCTTTTTTTTTTTTTTTTTTTTTACATTGCCCTACATGTACTAACACAGAAATGAACGTAACAGTTTGGAACAAAGACAACAAAGCTGGACAAATAAAGCTTAAGAATGACAGGACTATTATGTACACAAGTATGAGTATGTGGAAAAAGTAAGTGTTTACGTAAATATTGTGTAAATATAGATAAAAAGCACCAATAAACAATTAGAACATTAAAATAAAATTAAAATATACATATACATATACATATATACAGGTAAAGTGTTCTGTAAGCTGTAAACTACACAAAAAGTGCAAAAAATAAATGAAGGAATGAATATGCATGGAATAGATGATTATGTAAAGTATGTGTACGCATACGTGTCTATATGCTGTATATACAGATTTTGGATTTATACTGACAATGATTTTATGTGCATAATAAAAATGGATGCATTGAAAAATGTAAAATTCTCATCTGTTAACTCCTCTCATGAAGTACAACCTACTATCAGACCATTTGTGGCCTTTTTTGATTGGAAACATCCTCATGAATTAAATATTTTCAGTATGTGTCCAACTGCAACCTGTATTTTAGTCAATAATTTAGATTTTCTCCGAACTGATGTCAATGTGCAGCTGCATTTCCAGTGGAGGAAAGATGGATAATGGTAAATGTAAAATACAGTACACAAGCAGTGGGTATAACATGACATAAACTTTAAAAATTGAACTCCCAATGCGGATGGTGTCAGCATATTAAATGCTCTTTACCTGTGGTTTTCAGCATTATGGGTTAGAAGGGGCCAGTCACACTTACTATTAAGTCCCTTTTCCACTGCACAAAAAACCTGCTAACACCTCAAATGTCAAACAACTTTGCAGTAAACATGGGTATTAATCGGCTCCGGCTCTGATCCGGCTGAAGAGCCATGTACACAGCTCTGGTCCACTGGCACTGGGCATGGAGTCTATCAATTATGTTTAACAGGTTTTCACGTTTTAAATAAGCCTGTGTAGGTACATGCACAGTTTTGGTGTAAAAAGGTGTAAAGTCCATTATCAGCCCACTAAATGGCTGTTTGCATAATGTTGTGAAATGACTGCCATTTCCTTAGGTTTCATTTTCACTTTCCTTAGATTTAAGTGCAAAACTACAAGGTTGGATTTACGAAAAGATGTAACATCAGTCAAAACAACTGTCACTGGTTAAATTAAGTTACCGCTGACTACTGGTACTGCAGTTCGTTGAATGGCCACTTGAGGCAGGCTCCAAAAGCGAGTCAATCCCCATAGACCCCCATGTTAAAATGCTCAACTTTACAGCAGAAATAAACATGTTTACAGCCTGGTACAAAAAACGGTTTTGGTCTCTATAGCTAATTTCCCCTTTCATGACAACTGTACAGGGGGTGAATTTTTTTTATAACTCATCCATTTAAATTTTATTAAGGCTTAAAGTTGCGCATAATTAAGGGCGTGGTCACTTTGAGTGACAGGTGGCGCCATCACGGGTGGCTAACTAGCCGCTGGCTGTCTGCTAGGCGTCATCTCAGCTAATTCGCAAGTCATTGAACCTGACCTCTCAGCCGTGTTGGTGCCTTTTGAATATTTTGTTGGAGCTGGCACCAAGCGGAAGCATGAGCGGGAGCAGCCAACACCACAGGGCTAGCCACAGTAGCGTAGCTAACTTAGCAGCTTTGAGCGAGGTGGGCGTGTTTTAGCAAGTAGGCTTCATTTGGCCCGCCTCTTTGCCCATTTTTGATTGGCAGGGAGTTGGGTGGAGTCAGGCACTGCCAAGATGGCGACAGCCAGAGCCGCCTATACTTTTAGCTTCAAACCCGCTCCTCAGAAAGCAATGGGTGACATCACGGTGACTACGTCCATATTTTTATACAGTCTAGGCCCTCTTCATACTGGCCATTAAGAGATATATTCCAAATGACAGGGGAATTTGCATCATAAAGATGGGAACTTTGAAACATATCTAACTGATTTGACTAACTCAGGCTACTGAGGCTTCATATTAGCTTCAGATAAACTTTTTAGTTAGGAAGTGGGTTTGTCTTAGTTTCCCTTGTGTTACATTTTCTTGTACTTTTCCATTAAATACTCTGATCTGGTGTACAGTCTTTAACATCTGCAAGTTTAACCATTTGGGGGGCTAAATGTGAGTTAATGTGAATCCCTTAAACATTACTAAAACATGTCTGTATACCACACTAAAGTCAACTTATTAAGTTGCAACATAGAGAATAATAGTTTCCTGTTACTTACTGCAGAATGGAGTGACCGCATTGGTGGTGAAGTAAGTTTTTGTTTGGCCCAGCTTCAGCAGGACATCTTTCCACTCTCTGATGTCATAACCTGGATTGGAGTGAAACAGCTGCGTCAGATCCATTTTGAAAGACCGGTTATGTCTTTTTTTAAAAATGAAATCAATTAAAGATAATTAAAGTACCAACCAAAGACAGGACATCCAGCAACACCAAAGGTGTCACAGCTCAAGCAGTTACCACTCAGAAACTCTTTGTAGGAGTCACAGGGGAAGACCCTGCTGGCACACGTCCGATGCACAGAGTCAAGGTAGAGTAACACTGATCTCTGGTGGTCGCATTTAAAATAGGCTCCTCCTGTGCAGGGGTAAGTCAGAATTGTCACCATTATAAAGCCAACATTTTTTTACACTTGATCAACAATTTGAGTGTGGTCTTTGTGTGTTTCTTTTCTTCATCATTTTTAAAGAGTTTACCAGAAAAGATAGTCTTTGGGCAGCCGGGTTGGTCTGTTCCACCATTAGCATAGACATCAATGTGACCCAGAGGTTCTCTGAAGCCCAGAGCTGTGCATGACAATAATAATAATTAATCATAATAACAATAATAATAATAAGTTGTATAACACATTGAGTGAATATGTTATAGAGTATTTCAGATAAACTGACCGTCTATGTCTGTGTGCAGGACATCCACAAACTGAGCATCCGTGGGGTCCAGTCGGTCCTCTGGAGAAGTGCCAGTGAACTGTGGTCCAGCAGGATCCAGAGCTGCAAACATCACATCAGAAAATCTAAGTAAAGCTTCAGGTTTATTTTCAAACCCAGCATTAGCTGATGGGAGCTGAAAATAGCACATGCAAACAGACTGATTTCACCTTATTTTTATGACTTAGGTACCTTTAAGTCTCTTTACTGTTTGATTTGTCTATGCCTTTTCCAAATTCTATCCATAAAGCAGTTTGACCCATTGGCAAACCAGTATTACTCTTTTCTTATCATCTTTAATTTTTTTCCCACAAAGAAGTATTTTGATACCATCATGTTTTTGTTTTACATGACTGAACTTGAGACATCTAGACCAGTTCTTCTTTCCTCTTTGGTGTTTTACACTCAGTACTCCTCTGCAGCAGTTCTGACCTGGATATCTGTGGTTCTGCACTTCACTTACGCTGCAGGCACTGCGGAGGGGATAATCTCTCCACGGGGATTTCAGGTGAAATCATTGAAACTGTGTCAGTTTACATCATGATCAAAATCCTTCATCTGCAACATCTGACAAACTGTTTCATCATACACCGTGCTCTCAGTTACTTGTAACGGTAACATTCTAGGAACTGAAGTTCATTTGAGTGTCACAATTATAGTGAATGACATGATAAGCATCTCAGCTAAAGTTTATTGCCTGATGCAGGCAGAAGATAAATGTCCAAAGGTTGTGTAACTAAATACGGTGGCAATATGTGCAGTACTTCTTTTAAAACATACACTTCACAATATCTAATATCCACAGAGGTCTGTACTATACATTTGCTACTTTTTGTAAAGTTTAAATGGACACACATGTGAAGCTGTTTTGTCATTGTGACTAAAGGAAACATAGTTTTTAGCATAACTGCTTTTGTTGATGTTTGAACTGTAACTTTATTATTGTTAGGGTTGGGCAATATGATACTGAGCAATGGTAGAAATGTGTCCACAGGTAGATTTCGCAATACTCTTTCTACCTCAGGAGATGTTCAGGGCAGGCTATGTAGCCAATCACAGCTGGATCCTTGCGTGATTTTCTGATCTCATGATTTAATAACCTCATGATCTCATGAATCCCGCTGCCTCACAAGGCAACTTCATCTGGGCAGACACGTAGGAGGAGGGTGACGTTATGAAAACAGAAGCCTAGAACACTTGAAATTATTGTTCTCGGGAACCTTAAAGCTTTCATTGTGAAAGAATTTTAGTTTTACTTTTTATTTTAGTCTTTTGTTTTTTACTCAAGTGTTGTTTCACCCGAGTCAGTTGTGTTTTTTGTTTGTAAGGAAGTTCCTAGTCAGGCTTACAGGATGTAGACTGGCGTATAAGCCCACAATTGGCCGCCTATTTCAGATGTCCTGATACTGTTTCACAAGGGCACCGGCGCTGCATCCTGAGCTTAGTACTGCCCAAGATGATTGTGATTGGTTTATAGAAATACAAACAACCTAGTGTTTTTCTTCCCTTAGTGCCGAATTATGTTGGGTTCAGCCAGACAGAACAATTACTGTATTGTGATATATATGCTGTCACTATGACATAAAATTACATATATACCATGACAGAAGAATCTGACCATACTGCCCACCGCTAATTTGACAATGAACAATGTTCTCCTATATCTGAGGGGTTTGTTTGAGGATTTGAATTTGTATCTAGGGTCTGAGAGAGAAATCTCTTACCTGTAATCCATCCAATTGACCCATTCAGGTTAGCACCCACAAAGCCTGATATATGAGCCCCAAGACTGACTCCGATCATGTGGATGGAGCTCAGAGAGGCACCATGTTCCTGAAAAGATTCGTCATTAGTCATGTTACTCACAACACCATCTATGATATAGAGGCACAGCAGAGTTGGCCACAGAGTGTCAGAAACATCACATACCTGCATCATTTTAATGAAAGCAGTGAGGTTGTCAGCCGCCTTGTGTGTGTTTTCCACTGCTTTGAAATAATTCACATTAGCAGCTCCGCGGTTCCAGTCCACCACTATTACGTTCATGTCTTCCCTCTCCAGCAGCATCTTCGTAATGGTGTGCACCCACGCCGGTGGAGATCCTGTGGGCCGATACCCATGAATGACGAAGGTGGTTGGCCTGGACGAGTTAAGCTGGGGATGGGCGGACAAGTTGGAGTGGGACACGAGTCTGCCACAGGTGTCATTTTCCCTGGTGTACAGCAACAACTTTATTCTGAGGCTGGTTCCAATGAATGCGTGGCCAAAATCTAGGTCTGTAAATTCTTCACATCCCTCAGCTGGGAGTGGTGAGTAAAAAAAGGAGTGGACAGAGAAAATTGTATTTGGGAAGGGGAGGACAACAAAAAAAAAATTAATGAGACATGATCATTTTGATCTTAAAGGTACAGTTCACCACAATTTCAAAAAAATATGTTTTTTCCTCTTACCTGTGGTGTTATTTGAGCTGCTGTGTGTTGGAGATATCGGCTGCAGAGATGTCTGCCTTCTCTCAAATACAATAGAACTAGATGGCACTCGGCTTGTGGTGCTCAAAATGCCGAAAAAACAAAACACAACAAAAAAAACTCTTTCCAAAAACCATGACCTGGTTACTAGAGGTAATCCACAGACCTTGTTGTGAGCAGTTTCATGTAGGAACTATTTTCCATCACTGCCCTGAAGGAAGTATGGGTCTACTGCGTGGTCACCTAGCACCACTGAGCTACCTAACGTTAGCTCAGCCAAGGAGGATGCCATCAACGTTTACATCTCGTGCTGTCACTAGCCTCTCATCCATGCGTAGATGCACGCTTCCTCATGTGCGGTGATTCGATTCATGGGTGTAGTTTAGTAGAAAGAAAATAGTTCCTACATGAAACTGCTCAGAATGAGGTCTGTGGTTATGTTGAGTAACCAGGTCATGATTTCTGAAAAGACACATTGCCATTGAGTTTTTCAACTGTATTCTTTGCCGCTTTGAGCACCACAACTCGAGTGTCATCTAGTTCCATTATATTCAAGAGAAGGCAGACATCTCTGCAGCCGATATCTCCAACACTCTGCAACTCACACCACAACAATGGATAAATAGTACTACAGGGTGAACTGTCCCTTTTAACAAGCATTGCTCAATAAACCTTTAGTGATTTATCATTCAGGGTTTCTGTCATCATCAATGACATAATTCCATACATGACTCAGTGTGGTAGTATTCAATGCAACACTGGGCTGACAGTGTTTTCAAACACAGCTTCGCCCACCAGACAGACGTCATGAACAAGTTTGACTGGGAGAGCAAACTGTTTCACAGCACTGAGAAAAAAATAGTGACACCTGAATCAGACTTCAGTGTGAAACCATCTGATAATCTCACAAGATTTTGTCAGTGCCACCTACATGATAACTGATAAAAACAACCAATAACAGTTAAAACATATAAAAACATCTGTCTCTGTTTCTACTGACACTCTTCTTAGCATATTAGTTGTGTTGACCTGACACTGTGTAAAAATCTATCACTGGCAGAATTTTCATTTCCTAATAAAATAAATGTCACACAAATAACCTAGTATATCGACTTCTGCTGAAATAGAAGCATCACGTCATTTTAAGAAATGCCACCAACTGTTACATAACTGATGTGGCTTTCCATATAGGTAAATGACTGTTGCATATATATCAGCTGACATCCCTGTATACAGTGCCAGTGGTCTTTGCAAACCACATTGCTAGCCATTTACTCGAATGTGTTGGTTTTCCCAAGAAATTTCAGTTCCTCAAATGCTGCTTGACGGTTTTTCCCCCTCAGGAGTGTAGTCGCTCTGCACTTGTGTGTGTGTGTTTGTCTGTATACATTGACACTTCAGAGTGGGCTTTACCTTTGCATATTTGAACAGCTATCAGCAGGAGCAGTGTCAGATATTGCCACAGGAACATGCTTTACACCAGCATGTGCAAATAACCTGTAGACAGAGTTACCACAGTCAGACCATTACAGAAAAATACACCTGTCAGACATTATATGGCCCAATAAAAATATCACAGCTATTCATGTGTACACCAACACAACAGGCGCAGCAACAAAGAGAAGACTGTCATAACTCTTTAGGTGTTTCTCTGACACTTTATATTTTTCACCACAAACTGTAGTTTTATTTTTTTTTAGCTATTTTTGCCCTGAATGCAAATCTCCCCAGACCAAAGCAAATAAAATAGGTCAGTTGCTTATCTACTTACCTTCCATTGTTATTATGAGTCAGGGGAAAAAATATCACAGTTGGTGCCATTTAGGTAACCTGCAGGCTGAAAAACTGTTTTCTCACTCCACCCACTGTTATTAACTTTAACCAATGAAATTGTAATGGTAAGCAAAACTGAAATCCACAGAAATCTGTCTGTGACTAAATTCCTCTGCTACAGTAAACGCCTCATATTTACTGACTGTTCAGTGTCTTCTTCAGGTGTAACTTTAACAAATTTGACAGCTATGAGTGAGCTTAACATGTCATTTTCATAAGAGGCTTACCTTTGCTGTAGGATGATATTTCCTGGTCTGGTGTGTGTCAAAGGTCCAGCAGATCACGGGCCATCCTGTGTTTGTACCTCCACATATTTGGGCAGTGTTCACTTCAGGAAGTGAGAGGAGGAACAGCAGAGCAATACTCCCGCCCTGCATGCTCTCATGGGGATAGCCACACCCCTTGCTCCAGGTCATTGTGTTCACAGGTGAAGCATTCCTGTGAAGTCACTCCTGGTTCCCATGTACTCAAACCGGTTATGGGACTGTTTCTTGTGTCTTCTTTGAACTTGATTTGAATCTGTAAAAACAGCCCACTCTCTGTTTACAGAGCCCATTCTTATTTTAGCTCAAGAAAGTAGAGTGAAAGCGAAACATGTTGTGGGCATTTCCAAGAACTTGTCACTTCTGCAGAAAGGAGTGTCTCATTGCTGTAGTGATACATTAACATTCAGGCTTTACTCAGCTGGAGTCAGTCAAAGCTCCACTGACGCTTGTAAGAAGTTGCACAACAAAGTCTATTATATGTGCACAACCTGTTTTGACAAGGTGATAGACTTTTCAAAACTTTAGCCTTTCTATCCCTCATTGTATTTCATGTATGTCTGAGTATATGTACACATCATGAGTTTCCAAATTACTAATTTTAATGTGCAAACAAGTCAGTGGAAGAAAAACACTAAAGTAGGAGTTGATGGTCTCGCTTTTGGGTTTCAGTTGTTGCAAGTGTCGACTGAATCATAATTTTAGGGTATTTTTATCTCTGTGACTACTAGAAAAAGGAAGAGGGCTATGTTTCAGTTGGGGTGGGGGTGGGGGGGGGTTCCGCTGAAGGGAAAGCAGGGGAGGGTCTTTAAACTTTTCCTCATACTGGTTTTATACATATATTCTTAAATGAGAGGGTGGGTGTTTTGTCACCATTTTTACCAGCCGTGACAATGCTGTGACAGCAGGCATTGGTTTCACTTTGTGAGTCTGTGTGTGTGTCATGGAAGAATGTGGTCCTGGTGGGACCAATTTTAGTGGGAACTGGGTGTGGTCAGTGGTCACTTTACGCCCCTGCCACGTATTTAAGCTGTGGGTGTATCGGTTGAAGTGATCCCATTGCAAGATGCTCTCCAGTGTTATGTTGGCTATAAATATATTCATTCATTCATTTTCCATAACCGCTCATCCTGTTAGGGGTTGTGGGTATGCCGGAGCCTATCCCAGCTGAAATTGGGCGAGAAGAAGGGTACACCCTGGGCGGGTCGATAGACTATCGCAGGGCTAACACATAAAGACAGACAACCATTCAGGCTCACATTCACACCTACGGACAATTTAGAGTCATCAATTAACCTAGCCTGCATGTCTTTGGACTGTGGGAGGAAGCTGGAGTACCCAGAGAAGACCCACACTGACATGGGAAGAAACATGCTCCACAACTCCCCACCCTGGGTTTGAACCAGGAAACCCTCTTGCTGTGAGACGACAATGCTAACCACTGTACCACCATGCCTGAGGGTATTGCAATTTAAGGGTTCAAGTCAAGAGAAAGATCAAACAAAACAAAACAAAAAAGGCTATAATAGGGAAGGCCCAGTACAGCTGAGGTTAATGGGTATGTCATTTGCAGGTATTTGCTCATAAATCATAAATTATTGGCCAAATTGAGACTTTGACCTGATGACGGTGGTAGGCGAAACGTTTAAAGTTTACCAAAGTTATTATAATTCATCATGAGGGTGAAATGAATGCGATTAAACCACAAATGCCAGGTGCTGCCTGAGGTAAAGCCGGTAAGCTTCTTCATGAATATCTACAAAATGTCAGTGTTATTGTTTGAGATATTTCAGTCGGAACTAAAGTGGTGAACCAATTGGCCTAAACATTTTTAGCTGCTGGTGTGGCTATATAATAATGTGCTAAAATAAGAAGGCAGGGCAGCATGTCAGTGATTTCAAAATACCAAAACTGTACTCACAACAGAAATGATCTAATCTGCAGCTGTGTATCCACCGTGGGCAACTTATGACAGATTTGTGTAATGTGGGAACACATTGTCCCTCTGTGTTTGGTTCCAAAGGCTGCTGCTGTCAAAGCTCTGGGCACACACTCACCTTTTTATTTCATCTTATCTAGCTCCTCTACGCACGAAATGTTACATTATTAGCAGCCTCTATTCTCTACATGTCACAGCCCGAAAGGAAATGTAAGAAATGTTTCAAAACATGAGCAGTCTTCACATTAACTTCTTGCTTGACTGTTTTCATACAGTTTATGGAGTTTACAGAAACACTGCATACACCATCCTGTTGCTACAAGCTTCCGTGTCACCACATAAAGGAAGAGAAAGTCCTCACAGTTATTAATGAAGTGCAATCTACATTTCTGAGTAGACAACTTTACTACCAGAGTGGCTTGAACTTTGCCCGCTACATCTCCCGTCATCAGGGTCAGGCAGGCCCCTGGGATGTATACTTTAAAACACACACAGGCTTAGAAATTTCCCCGCGTACACACCAGTAAGGCCAGCCGAAAGGAGCGGCAGATAGGTGCAGTGGCGTTGTTGGAAGACCAGAGAGCAGAGCATACAGGATGGCTGGAAGGAGACGAGGCCGAGGCAGCAACGTCCAGCAACAACAGACCCCACGGAACCAAAGAGGAGGCTCTCGTAGGGTGAGTCCTGTTCTGTCTGCTCTGTGATCATGGCCACCATATTTGTCCTTACATTTAAATACTACTAATAATATGAGAACTATATGTGCCATAAAGAAGATTCTGGTTGTCTTAGATGTGTGTTTTTGGGCTTTCCTTGGAAAGACACAGGAAATGAGAACACACAAGTGTATGTCAGACCTATATTGTATTTAATGTGACAGGCTTTAAATATTACAGAAATAAACTATCCCTCTATGGCTATTTCACTTGTGCCAGGGAGTGGAGAGTTAACTGATTATCTGGGTGGGACAATGTAGCGATGACTCATGCTATGTCGTCAATATAGTGCAGCGATACTTGATTAATCTGAAGTGATATTAAGTAATCAGTTTTCAGTGCTGTAAATGTTACAAATAAATGTGAGTCACATAGTATAAAATGTAAGTGCATATAAGTGCACATTAACATTTAACATTTGTGTCTCCTATGTGGAAACCTGCATGTATGTCAACTTCTTACCTGAAGGTATAAAGTGGCTAATGCTTTGCTAACTATAAAGACTAAGAGTGAAATAAATAAGAGGCATGGACAGATAAATTCAGAAGCATTCACAAAGCACTGATCATTTCAAAACTTAAGCAGGAACACTAGTTGTAGTTTAATACAGGAAACACCAGACATATGAGCAGCATCAGAGTTCAAAGTGTACCTTACAACACAGCAGATAAAGCTACATATATGTATCTACACACGACACAAAGTCCATGACATGTGGAGCGCTGAGATTCTTCACATCTGTCTTAATGATTTAATCAAAGCTTCAATATCATTTTTTTTTTTTTTACTATGTCGAATTTAGGGAGATTTGTAATACTTTATGTTTTATTAAGTTGGAAACAAACAAGCTTTTGGTTTAACGTATCATTAGAAAGTAAATTATGATTTCACAGTGCAATGGTTATAGAATAACGAAACCATTTAGTGTTCAGGCTGGTGCCCTATAAGCCTCACTTTCACTGTTGGAGTCTGAAGTTACTGGGTATGGGTATTTCCTGGGAAAATGATGACTAGGGGACAAGTAGGGGACAAGCCCGTCTTAATTTTGTCCTAGACTGGTAAGACCACCTTGATGACATGAGCTCAACATTCTGTTTCGCTCACTGTATCAGTCTGAACCCGGTGTTGCCCCAAACACTTTCATCGGGCAGGAGTTCTTGCCTTGATAGACAACCTCATTCTTCCAATCAGCGTCACGAAACACTGGGGAACATCTTCATCACCGACAGAACCGGTTGATGAATCAAGCTTTTGCAAAATTCACTTGAAAGAATGGCGAAAATGTATTTTCCTTCGATTAACTCCATGAGTGCATTTTGTTGTTACTGACTCTACTTCTGCAGTAACTTCACTTATTGCTGTGTTTACTCTACCTATGTTAGAGTTAGTGTTTGTTGCTTCAGGAGCTGCCATTACTGTTCTGCAAGCTGCGGCCTGCATTGTATTGCATCAGCTACAATGCAGTTCCTGATTGGCCCCGATTGGATTTTAATTTCTGTAAAGTGTTTGGGGCGGCACCAAATGCAGACTGATACAGAGAGTGAGACAGAATGTTGAGCTCACGCCCTCAGGACGGTCTTACCAGGCTACATTCGCCCCCCACCCCACCCCACCCAGTTAAAACATTTACTCCATAAATTGATGCAGAAAAGGCACAAATTGGTGCCTAAATTATCACAATAATGTATGGGAATTAAGTGTTTGATGCTCAGAAATTTCTAGCAGGGGACCCCCAAACCCCTGTTTTATATGTGTGTCCCCCTCAATACTGAAGTGAAATCTACACTCTTAACTGCTTTGTTATAATTCTGCAATAACACTGTTGTTGTATTCTGTCCTCCCACACTGTTTGTTTTTGATTTCCTGTGTATTTCAAATGCCACATAACTCCCAGCAACACCCCTGTCCTCCCACACACTCCAAATACATGCAGGCTAGGTAAACTGGAACTGTATAACTGCCCTTAGGCATGAATGCAAGTATGACTATGCATGTCTGTATGTAACAGCTGTAACAGCTTGTTTAGTCTGAACTTTTCCTGTCACTTAATGCACAATGAGACCCTGTGCAGGATAAGACGTTTAGGAGATGGATGAACTAAACTGGAAAGCATTTAATTACATTTAACATGTGGTTTTTGTTTTCCTCTGCTCTCTCTGTATTCAGGCTCTCCGGGAACCAGCTGCTTTTGCCAAGTCTACAGGTTGTGAATCAGAGGTCCCCCATGAAAAGTTGACCCTTGCCCAAGCACGAAGGGGCACACCAGGTCACACTTCTCTATAGTTTTTGTTATCATCGCTCATTAATGTCATGCAACTCAGTGTCCTCTTGTCAGTCTCAGCTAGTGGCAGCAACGAATCAGGGAAGGCTAGCAGGAGAATTGCTGACTCCAGATGCTTCAGTATGCTGGTATCAGCTGATATCAGCTGTGCAATGTGATTTTAGTATAAGTGCAATATGGTTTTATTGCTAGTTAATTGACTGATAGTTGCTTTGGTATTATTATGATCTTTTCCTTCAGGAATGTGTCACACCATTTGACGAACGAATTAGCAACAGATTAGAAGTGGCTGGTCAGATATTGGCATCAACTTCAAAATACCACATCAGTAAATCTCTATAGATAACAGAACAAAGAAAGTGATGTTTTGTAGCATCATGTTGGTATTTAAAAACGTGTTTATCACAATTCTTATCTTGTAGTTCATCGTCCAGTGCGAGTCTACGCTGATGGGATCTTTGATCTGTTCCATTCGGGGCATGCTCGAGCTCTAATGCAGGCCAAAAATGTTTTCCCCAACACATACCTGATAGTAGGAGGTAAAGTATGGCTCTCACTCCCTCTGATGCAGGAAAACACACTGCTAAACACGAATCCTAATCTTTAAACAAAATGGCCTGAATAGGACCAAAATCTTATGGCTCTTTAAGTGGTTTATTCCAGTTTACTTATTCCATATTAACCCTTACTATCCCTTAGTACTAAATCCAGATCTCTGTCTTTAGTCTGCAGTGACGAGCTCACCCACAAGTTTAAGGGTTACACGGTGATGACAGAGGATGAACGCTACGAAGCCCTGAGGCACTGCCGTTATGTTGACGAGGTGGTGCGAGACGCTCCCTGGACCCTTTCCGCAGAGTTCCTCAGGAAACATAAGGTCAAAGATCACGCAGTCATTGCACAAACAGCTTATCACAATGTCATACAGTGACAACAACAAAGGTATCTGCTGTTCAGTCAGTCTGAATACTGTAATATTGCGCTTACAGATTGACTTTGTGGCCCATGACGACATCCCTTATACCTCTGCTGGATCACACGATGTTTATAAACACATCAAGGAAGCAGGTGAAGATATGAATAGATATAGTGAATTCTTCCTCTGTAATTTCTCACATTAGTTATAAGAATTTATGTTTTAATGTCAGGGATGTTTGTGGCCACTCAGAGGACAGAAGGTATCTCCACATCTGATCTGATCACTCGAATCGTCCGTGACTATGACATCTATGTTCGACGCAACCTGCAAAGAGGCTACACAGCTCGAGAACTAAATGTTGGATTCATTAATGTTAGTGAAATTATTTTTTACTGAATGACAAAAAATTAATATTGAATTGTTTTTAATGAACACTACAGAAAATAATATCAGAGATGTACTTATGATAACTTGCTTTGTCTTTTACTTACAGGAGAAGAAATACCGTCTGCAGGAGCAGGTGGACAAGATGAAAGAGACAGTCCGTACAGTGGAGGAAAAGTCCAAACACTTTGTCTACAGAGTGGAAGAGAAGAGTCAAGACCTCATCCACAAGTGGGAAGAGAAGTCGCGAGAATTCATTGGCAACTTCCTGGAGCTTTTTGGACCTGATGGAGCCTGGGCATGTTCACTTTTATATTAATCCACATTAACATTACATTAAATTTGTTGTTTTATAGAAAAATATATAGAAGTTATGTAATTTGCTCAAGTCTTGTTGTTACTGTGTGTTTACCAGGAGACTCCAGTAAGTCACTGTGTCTTGCCAAAAAATAGTCTATTTCATAACCACAAATATGTCATATATACACTAACACAGGCAACATAGGCAATTACCTGACGCAACATGGGGAAAGGATTTAAAATTCTAGTTTACCTAGCCTGTAATTTAAAACTTCCTAGGAATTTCACCAGAGTATACAGTATATGACGGTATTTGTGTTAAAAAAAAATGTAAAAGCTGAGCTGCTGGTGATAGAATTCATAGTGGCATGTAGGCTATGACATTGTCTAGGATTGGGTGGCATTTTAAAATTTTCCAAATGGCCACTGTCAACCTAACAACTGTTGCTTGTAGTTTCAGTGTATTCGAGTGGCAAGTCTGCTGCGTTCCACAGGCTCTCTTAACTTTTTCAGCCTAAGAAACTGTCACAAAATGTCAAGAAAGTAAATATTCATACACCTATATTTTCCCTATCAAACAACGTGAGTTAGATTTGAAAATATGGTTGCTCTATCACTGTTTTTCCCTGCTATTTATCTCTGGCTGGCTGTTTACAGTCTTGTGACGTTATCCCCACAACTTACAGTCCCCATTTTTCTTAGCTCAGCTGCTGTACCACTGGAAGAGACTGAGTAGTCTAGTGGCATGTTATGTGCACTACATTGCCTCCGTACAAAATCTTTGTATTAGTTTATTAGGAAGAGTAGCATCTGTATTGAAAATCAAACGGCCAGGATTTCTAAATACTCTACTATACTGTTATACCTTGATACTGCCCGAGCCTAAAAGTGAGTAAACAACTGAGCACAACATTACAACTCGTTAAAACTTTCCTCTGTCTCTTTCCTTGTTTAGCATGCGATTCAGGAACGCAGTGGCCGTATGCTGCAGGCCCTTTCACCTTACTCCTCGCCCCGCGGCTCCCCCAGCAGTAGTCCCACCAGAAGACGGTCTGTTTCTCCTGACTCCGCCTCAGCCTCTGCTTCCCCCTCCTCTCTGTCCCCTCCTTCCTCCCCCTCTTCACCAAAGAAGACCACACGCTCCTCTCTCAAAGCTGCATCCACACTCAGTGAACATGTACAATAAGGTCATCTTGGTTTGATCTTTTTTGTTGGTCTCCTTACAGGCTGTTGGTCAATAACCTGGTTCATAATGTGTCAAATGAGGTTATCAATTAAATTAACCAATGACAAGGAAGTATTTACTGGTTTATTCAAGTGCAATATATCACAATGTACATAATGTTTCTTCACTGAAAATAAATGGAAAAGACATTAAAATTTCCTCAGATGTTATCTGTCTTTTGTCATCTGTTACTTTTCAATATGTCTAAATACATAACACACATTCAAAGTGCCTCTATAGGAATCTGAATACAATAACTTTATCAATTCATTAAAAAAAAAAAAAAAAACATGTGCTTGTACTTAAATGTGCACAATGCATGCACTGATGGGAATGTCTGTGTCTCCTGAAACAGAAATTGAGATCTGCCCTGGAAAGCATATTTGGGATGCTGTGTAATAAATGTGGGATGATTTATCTTCATATTTGCCAAGCTGCAATATTGAGGGAAGAGTATAGTTTTGTCTTTTAAAGTACAGTATTCTCCTGAAGTCTTAGATCATTAAACTTTCTGTTACTAATAAAAAGAGCTGCTGTGACTGGCATTATTAAAGCTTCCCTTAACTTCACCCGCTGCAAGAGACATGAGGAGCTCTGATGCCTGGTTAGACGCCATAGAGCTGAAGTTGTGGCATCACCTCAGCCACATGTAAGTGACTCTGTGCTCAAACCTTGTGGTGTGCCTAGTGGCTACAGTCAGTGCATAGATGGCCTGGATGGCCTTTGCTTGTCTGTGCAGGTACCCCAGAGAATGCCCGCAGGGCAAGTGGCAGAACAGGCCCGGTGAGATTCGGAGCTTCAGAGATCTCCAGTGTCTCAGTGGGATCTGGATCCTCCCCTCTCACTCTCTTTCTATCTCCATTACATCAAAAAAAGCTATGACACCAAGCTCTCACTTTATGCATCATAAAAGCAGCCAGACAACTGACAGTATTTGCAGTAGAGGCAGCACAGCATGTAAATGTAATGGGATGCAACAAATTAAATGCCTGTAAATGAATATTATTGAGGTATATTTATTTCAGACTTAAAGCCAACCCTGATGTCCATGTCATTTAATGTCCTACATGGAGTTAAAATTTTGGGAGGTGGCTGAATATTGCTAAAATGGGTGCTTACGAAGTTGGGTTAAATCAAATTACCAATGTGAAGGGTGTCACTTGTAGTGATATACACACACATCATTTTTAGCTTTTTTAAAATTGGTTTTATGACCTGAAAAATCAGCTTTTGAGAAACTAGTTTCCAGCAACAGTTGACAGCTGTTTTTAGCAACAAAAAAAAAAAGCTCTAATAAACCACCTGTATGACGCCTGCCCAGCATTAAACAGCAGACAAAGTTTCTATGCATGATAAAAGAACATCTAGCAGCTAAGGAGTTGGTGGAGTCCAAAACAGAGCTAAAAGGAGTGTAAATCTTGGACTTATGTTCATCAAGTAGCTGGAAACACTGCATGATCCCATATAAATGCTCATGTGTCCCATAGACTGTATAAATAATGGAAGTAACTAACGTGACATCATCCATTGGTTTGTGGACTGCTGTTTTGAAGCTGCAAGTTTGGTATTTCGGCCATCGGCATCTTTGTTTTTTTGGAGCCAGAAGTGGCCCTATTTGAATGAGAGGTTGGAGCTGTGGAGGAGCAAGGGTGGATCTGACTGTGAAAACCACACGTTGCAGACAGCCTGTCACTCTAGCAGACCCACCCTTAAATATGCATAGCTTTAGACCTTACTAAAACGTAAATGAGTAAATTATAAAAAATAAAATTCAACTGCAGTTTTTGCAGTTAATTGGCTTAATTTTTCAGCCTGGGAGGATGCCGTAACGTGTTTACCATGAGCTAATATTATAACAGATGCTGAGCTTTCAGCTTGTTATGGACTTTCTCTGCCCCCGTGTGGCCAAAAATAATTCAATTAATGCAGATTTAGTCTTTTAACTGGCATTGGGTACTTTAAATCACTGAAATTATTTCTAGGTATATTTTCTTTTTATCTTACTATGAATTTATTTTTTTAACCATTCAATATGTTCTAAATCCTGATATAAAAAGCCAAGAAAACAGCCCATGGTTAAAGAAAGCATTTATTTACACAGTCAAACAAAGATGCTAAGATGCAAGATGAGTCACCGTAGTGTCCTGTGATGGTTGATTGGTACGTTTAAAAGTAAGCTACTCTTGACAGGGCATCACTTTTATTTGTTATTGTGTTTGTAATCAAAACAAAGCAGTCTCATGTGTGCAATTTATCAACCAAGCGTTAAAATTATATTAAAATCACGCGCGGGACCTTTAAAAACACGGGCGCTTGTTCCAGAGCGCCGCGCTCTCAGGTGTCTATCTTGGTCTTCTATCATCTTTGGCTCACTCATTTAATACCATGGAAATGACGTCACCGCCAGCTAATGTCCCATACGGATTAAAGATGGCGCCCTCTCATGCACTGAGGTGCTGTAAACGGGCTCTAAACTGGGTACCTGTCCTGTTTATCAACCTGGTTGTCGGTTGGTCTTATTACGCTTATGTTGTGGAGCTTTGTGTCTGTAAGTACATTTACTTTCATAAGTATTTATCGCTTTTACAGAGCGAATATTTGCTTGTGTTGACAGTTCAGGGCTGCCAACTTTAATAAGCTAGTTGGAGATTTAAAATCATCCCCAGGCTGTATACCGCATACATGCGTTTAAACATCAGGGAAATATTACACTACGTGATTTGTTTCAGATTGTTTAACCATTGACTTACATGATATACTTCATGACAGTTACGTCTGTAACGCTATAATAATCGGGCAACTTTTTCAGTTAGATTGAGAGAGACTTGTGTAGTCATCAAGGAATAATTAATAACTTCACCATGATTGCTGTAATGCACCTGGTAACAGAAATTTTAAAAAGCCAGTTAACTGGGATAAAAGTGTTTATTAAAAAAAAAATAAATAAATAAATAAAACTTATTTTTGTTGTAATGTGCAGTGTATTGTAAATGGATGGACAAGTTAGCTCTCTAATTGAAAAGCTCCTTTAAATGGTACACATTATTTTCATGGTTTTAAACACATTTAAATTATAAATGGGGTTTATTTCCTGGTGTTGTGTTGTTTCCAATGTAGGCTACATATTGCATATAAATATAAATATATATATATATATATATATATATATATATATATACATATTAATCTCAATTGAACACAAGTTGATATTTAACAAATACAATGATAGTTAATCATTTTTTTAAATTGTTGTTTGAGTGATAATGGATAAACCTTGGGGGCCAGCTGTAAAAATTATAACATAATGAGAAATTACTGTATAATTTAAGCGCATGATGCATTTTATGTTATTTATTGTCTATGGGAAAATGTGCTGAGAGGCTTGTGTTTTACTGTCTAATAGCAAGCTACCAAACCCATCTTCACGTAAACATTGGCTATCGTAGATGCACCCAAAATCACAGAAACAAACTGACTCATTCAGTACAGGACATGGTTTCTGACTTGTATTTCATAATAAGATGTGATCATCCAATCTTAAACAGATCTAAAGGCAATTCAGGTACATTAGTATTGATTGTATGTTTTAACAGATAGATGCTGATTAGTTGTGAGTGCCCTGATATGCACTGCCTCCACACTTGCAGTAGGTTTCTTATAGTTTTAGCCTAGAACTGATTGTACTATATCAGCATGTAGTCGCACTGTACTTATGTCTGTAACTCAGCGGTCAGGACAGGGACATCCCTGCTGCTTAAACAAAGCTCTCTGTTATGGGTGGGTCACTGCTGGCCGTGCCAGGCTGCTGCCACATGGTGTGAGAAAGGGGTGGTGTGTGTGAGTGTGTATGGTGGGGGATGTGTAGTCATGCATTCTTAGGATTTTCATGACTGCTCACTAATCTATTTTTTTCTCTGCCTTATCTAGATACGATCCCAGGTAATGCAGAACGAAGTAAGCGAAACCTACAGTTCCTCTCATGTTGATCATTTAGAGCAAAAATTATGTCAGAGATGCAAATGTAGCTGCAAATCTAATGTTTCCTTTCTCTCAACAGTCAGCTATTTGGTCATCTTTCACATTGTCCTCGGCATGTTTATATGGTCCTACTGGAAAACTATCGGGTCCAAACCAACCGGCCCCTCGAAAGCGGTAAGCTGAGAAAAAAAGATTTCCCATGAACACTTTTATTTTTATGTTCAGGAGGGAGGATTTGGTGAATATACACACATAGTAAATTATCCAATGCAAGTTTATATACAGTGAGTCTTTTGCTGGTCTGTTCCTGACTCCAGTCTGTTTTCCTCTTGTCAGTTCGGTCTTCCCAGAGCAGAGAAGGAACTCTATGAGAGAGAGGAGCGAGCTGAGATGCAACAGGAGATTCTGAAGAAAGTGGCGAGAAATCTACCTGTGTATACACGCACGGCAGGAGGAGGTGAGGCTTTTACTGCAGCATCAAAACTAACTATGGTTCGCTTCCTATTTTAATGCCCAGTAGTTGCTTTAAAGCAGACCAACAGGGCAAACTCTGTTTAAGAAGTATGTCACTGCTGGAAAGAGGGTCTTTTCACAAAGCGGGACAGTCTATGCAGTAGACAGATGCAAATACTTAAGAAACTGGGGCACTTTTTGGAAGTTCTCATGATGGCGGCTGGTATACAACAGAATGTTTTCAAGCAAGTACAATCTGTGGTTTGAACAACAACCAAAGAGCCAGCAAAAATCTTTGCATCATCAGGGTTTTTGTTTTTTACTGGCAAATGACCAGGGAGATCTGGGAAATGGTAAGATGGCGGGAAGTTGAACACAAGTCATTTACACATACTACCTGCTCTGTTACAATACAAAACCCATCTTGTGTTTTTTTTTTTTTTTTTTGGGGGGGGCGGGCGTTAGGAGCCAGACGTGACAATCAGTGCTTCTCAAGGTCAAGTATGCTTCCTTGGTAGGACAGGTCCTCTAAGTTGCGTCCTAGGATAGGATAGGCAAGACTCCCTACTAGCATTTGTTGAACACACATTGGAACAGGCTAGTGAGTGCCCAGGTGGATGTCATTGAAATTCAGCTGTTTAAGGATCCTTCCTTGACTTTGAGAAGCACCACATATTTGGGCGAAAGGCTGGAGCTGTTGAGGAGCAAGGGCTGGATCTATGGGGATTTTCCTTGCTTCCAGTGGCCGTTTATGGATCAGCAGTTTTTGGCACTTAGGTGTTGGCTCAGGTTTTTAGCTCTGGAGGTGGCTGCTTGGTTAAAAATCGGAAAAATATCCCTTTAAGTAACTGTTTTACTGTTGTCACCATTGCCTTATGTGTGACATTGCATAACTCTGTTGCTACACTGTGTCTTCCCTTTTTAGATAAAAGAGCAACACTGATTATATCTTTTTTAAAAGGAAGTACTCTTCGCCATTTCCTGCTAATGCATGTCAGGCTCATTTGTGTTGTGTTTACAACGCTGCATCTAGCAGGTGGGTTAATTGGACTCAGGTGCACCTCGTTATCTCTGCGGGCTACACACGCATCCTCTGCTCATTAACAGTCTTGTTCTCACGTACTCTGTTTCACAGGGACATTTGAAAAGACACTAAAAAAATGATGCCCTCATGTTTATATTTAGACTTTAATCAGCTTAAAGAATTATTAAGTGATGGAGATGGTCAGCTTTTGTTTGAAACATTAAAAGAGCAGGGAATTTCTAAACAAAGGAGAAGCGAATGCAGAGAAATACACCTCAAATTCTTATTTTATTTAAATACCAGCTACCTCACATACACCTTGATGGTGATGGTGTCATCTTTTGTATAAGTGTAATCGTGATACAGCACTAATTCTGCTTTCATTTTCTCTATAAAGCCATCAGATACTGCGACCACTGCCAGGTAGTCAAACCCGACCGCTGCCATCACTGCTCCACCTGTGAGATGTGAGTGTTTTTTAACACACTATAATTAAGGCTCATCATTTACATTTTTGTTTGTTTTCCTAAAAGAAGCAGTGCTACGATTTCACTGTTCCTAAACATCTATAGGTTGTTATTTCTGGCTGCAAGTAAACATGAACCACAATTTCTGGTAAAAGGAAGTGAAGAGAAAATGCAAATGTGTTGCTGTTGAGAAATAAGACAATAAATGGTTAAACAGACTGTATGTCTTTGCTGGTTTTAAACCAACATTTCACTTGCTTTTGTTATCTGAATTAGAATATACAACATATACACATGAAGTCGCACTTCTTTTTTAAATATTGACCATTGTGTATTTTCTGACATCTACATCATTGTTTGTACTGTAAGTGCTTCTGGGTAACTGGATCAACAAATTGTCGAACATCTAACATCCTGTAAATGGTACTAATGGACACATGTTTTCCCTTATTCTCATTCTTCAAGGTGTGTGTTGAAAATGGACCATCACTGCCCCTGGTAGGCTATTTTTTTATTTAATTATACATTTAGGTTGTTCTTTTTATTCCACCATGATCATGATGAAGTTGGTTTCTTGTGCTGTCTGTCAGAAAAAGATCAGTTTCCTCTAAATGAAGAGATAAGAGAGATAAGCATCACTTGCCGTCTCATGTTTCTGTCTTGTTTTCTTTCAGGGTGAATAACTGTGTTGGATTCTCAAACTACAAGTACTTTGTCTTGTTCTTGGCCTACGCTTCACTCTACTGTGCAGTCATTTGTGCCACAGTCATCCAGTATTTCATCAAATTCTGGACTGTGAGTACAGAAACTTCCTCTTATGTACATATCCTCTAATTGACAGTATCATTAATTGTTGAATTAATTTAAAACATTTAGTGCAGTCAGGCTGTGGTGAGTCATGTGAGGACTGCCTTGTAAGATACTGAGCAGTTGGTTTACAAAGTGTCACTGTGGTGCACAAGTGTGTCATGTGATCACTTATCAGGAGATCCTCTTCAGCATACTGCGTTGCAGGAGACAATGGCCTCTGTCACACACTCCAGCAGTGAAGGAGTATATTGTGTTATAGCAAAAAAAAAAAAAAAAAATACTAGTACTAAGATACAGTCCTGTGCAAAGGTGGGATGTTGTACAATAACAATAAAATGTTTACCACTGTACCACAGTCAGTTGTTGGGTAAAGATGACTTGACACAAGAACAGGAAATCTTCTTGCAGACTGACAAGACTGACACTTTTGTTCTCCTTTCCCCCTCTGAAGAAACAACTGGCTGACACGCACGCCAAATTCCACATCTTGTTTCTGTTTTTCGTGGCGGCCCTGTTCTTTATCAGCATCCTGTCACTTCTCAGCTACCATCTGTGGCTTGTGGGAAAGAACAGGACAACTATAGGTAAAAACAGGACCACTATAGGTAGCCATAAATAAAAATGGAATTTAATTCAACTTTGATTACATCATTTTAGAAAATCACCTCTGACTGACTAACTATATTTTACATCTATTTTCAGAGGCGTTTAGAGCTCCTGTGTTCACAAATGGTCCAGATAAAAACGGGTTTTCTCTGGGCTTTAGCCGAAATGTAGCTGAGGTGTTTGGAGACCAAGGGAAGTACTGGTTGTTTCCTGTTTTTTCAAGGTGAGTCTACTTTGACCTGATGTAACTGCAGCCATAAATCACCTTAGCAATCACAGTGATGCACATGAACACACCGCAAAGGCTACAGCGGACTGTCAACCAGCACTTACATTCTACAGCTGTGTGAGGCAGTAACTCTCCACACCAGCAGACGGTGGTAGTCTATTATCCTCATTCAAAAACGGAAGCTGGTTAGCCAGTTAGCACGTTAACAACACAATCTAGTGTTGAAAGAACAAAGCATATTTATCGTGCGCCAGTGAACAATAACACAAACCGTCACGAAATGCTTCTGCTAAAGAGCTCAGTGGCAAAACAAAAATAATCTTACCTTACATGACAAGTTTGTTTTAGTCTCACTACCTCTTGACTGTACACATGCCACATTTTTTACGCCTTCAGATTCATTGTTTTCAATGTAGAAGAGTGGTATGTGCGCTCAAACGCCAGAGCAATGCAGTCACAGCGCACATGCATTACCGAGTGGCTTCTTCTCAGGGCGCTATGGCTGCAAACAAACAACCAAACAGAGCCAGCAGATAGCTTTTCTGTCTTCCATTAATATCAGTCTGTGGTAAATATGGAGGAGAAGTTAATCATTTTAGTGCAGGGCTGCCAGAGCTTTACATCTGTCCATTTTTAATAATACACTATAAAACAACACCTGAAAGAAGATCAGCGCTGCACTTAAGATTTCTGGTAAGTAGGCTATGATACAGAGCTGGTTATTGCCACTTAGCAACCTCAGAGGCAACCTGCCTCCATGCCCTTGAAAGTTGGCACATAGGACGCACAAGAGTAGCGCCCGACCTCGCATTCTCCAGGCAGTGAAAGATGCAGCATCTGTATGTTGCTACATGAGGCAGTGTAGGCTATGTAAAGTACAGATTTGCAGTAGCATGCCTGGAGCAGATGATAAAGAAATCTAAAAAATAAGTAAAGCTTCATAGGTCCCCTGTAACTCCAATGAGCTCTGTATTTTCAGCTATTTCAGTGGAGTTAAAACTTGACCTTGAATCCACCTAATGCTAACATTCTGTGTCTATCTCTTTCTTATCAGTCTGGGAGACGGGCATTCCTTTGTTACCAGATTGGTACACATAGATCCTGAACAAGCAAACAGTGTCCTCCAGCAGAATGGCAAAAGGCTAGTATTGTTTTTCTTTTATCACCCAAATATTTAATCTGTTTCCTTTCAGTTTTGTGTGCTGGGTGTTAATCTCTAATGCAACTTTAATTACAGCCTTGCTGATGGGGAAGCCAACCCTTGTGCGCTTGGTAACAGTATACAACACACAACGGAAGACAGTAAAGACAAAACTGGTTTGTTGTTCTCACATTTTCCTTGTTTTTTGTAACTACTGTTCAAAAGTCAACCATTAAACACTCCTTGAAATGTCTCATGTCCTCACTGTTTCCTTTCAGAAGAAGGCCAGACAGTTTCTGTGACAGTGGAGAGTGAGCCATAGCAGGTATGTGAACGTGCTGTGAATACTGTAGAGTGGTGGTGAATTGTCCTCCTCCTGTGTTTATTCGTACTTTGTTGTCTATCACTGCAGGTCGCAGGCACATCAGTAAACTATGATGCCTTAAACCAGGAGCATCAGCGCCGCCACAGGAGCCGTCCTCCACCCTCATTTTGAGTTCAACAGTGCAGCCTCAAGCTACATGTTCTGTACATACATCAAATGGACCATAACTTCCTCCGGTGTGCTTTAAACCAGCACCCCAACAATACTGTTATCACGCGACAGTGACTGTACAGCGACCTCGTAGACTGCACCAGTCTGAAGCAGAGGTAATTCACAGGTTTCGTCTTTGTTTTGAGCCAAAGACATTCATTTTGTTGTATCTGTTGTTGTTGCATCTGAAAAACTCTGGGACTGCTTTTTCACCTCGAGCCAACGTTTGTCTACATTGTCTGTGTTTATCTACATGGATTAATCGCATAACACATTCCTAATAGAGAATCCTGTTTTCAGTATTAAGCATTAATGACCAAGAGGGAGAAGAGGGAGCCACTAAAATGAGATGTGTACAAGTTGTAAAGAATGGTGAGACATTTCAACACTGTCAGCAGTGTAAGAATGATCAGTTTTAAACTCCAAGCACAGTGCAATTATTAAGACCAATTATCTAATGGTCTAATTTAGTTTACAGTATACATGACTGAAAAATATTTTGAAGGTCTTTCTGTTTACACTTTTAAGATATTTATGTTTTACATTTCAGATTTTATACTATGCTCAAACATAGAAATTATCAAGGGTTTAAATGTTTGGACCAAATCCAGTTTAACTCCAGTTAAATGATTTTAAATAGTTAAGAAGTTGGTTTGCCATTTTTAATTGCACTATAAATATTTGTAATTTATTTATTTTCAAGCTTTTCTAATTTAATTGCATCATTTTAGTGTCTGTTAATTTTATTGTAATGGATTATTTTTATTTGTATTTATTCGTTTTTCATGATCAGTTCTTTACTACAGTGAGTATTTGTTTTTTAATTTATCAGTCTTGAGTGTTAAAGGTTAACTTTGGTATTTTTTTATATTTTTCAGCCTGGATACTATTCACCCAGTTAGATGTGAAAATACGCTGCCTGTACACTCCTTTCCCTTTTTTTTTCCTTGTTTTTTTTTTTTTTTTTTTTAACATCTAATTGTGTGATTTAAGATTTTATTCCAACCAAACCAGAGTGGGTGATGTTGAGTGGAAAGTCAAACCAAGACAGTTTTGTGAGTTTTATTTTGTTTCTGTCAACTTTTACTGCCTTTGTCAGCTTCTGTTTCTTTAAATGGAGTCTGGTGGGTTTGGCGTTAGCGATCTCAGGGCTGTTTCTAGACAAACAAAGGATCTTAACAAAAAGGATCTTACTCTTAAATTAAAATGTTAATCTCTTTAGCGATCCTTTCCGTAAGCTGTCAGACACTTAAAATGTCAGTGGCAAAAAACAAGCACTTTTAGCGAGCGAACACTGAAGGTGCATTTTGCCCAGAGTGGTTACATTGCAGCCCTCTCCACTAATACCGGACAAATTAAAGGCGCTGTATGTAAGAATGTGGCCAAAACGGTTACTGCACTCAAATTCAAAATACTGCCGCGAGTCGTGTCCGCCCCCCCCTCCCCTACAGATTCGAGGTTGCTGGACAGCGGCATGCTGGAGACTGATTTGTTTGCCCACGGGCATCTGCTGTGGCAGGGCCACGTCGCCGCTTCCTTGATCTTCCGTTTTCCAGCGGACCGTTAGAGCAAGTCCAGCTTTTCTGCTGCTAACGCTGCTGCCGGGATACAGCTCGTGAGGAGCCGGCTGCTAATGCTATGTACCGGGACACTGTTAATGCTGCTTGCCGTGCTGCTGTAGCTCAGTCGTAACTGTAACTGATGCTGAGACTCTACTGACTGTGTGACTGGTAGACGGCGGTGGGTGGCGCAACAGGCCAAAACACAAATTCAAAACATAGACATGATTTGCGGAACGTAAATTTTTTTTTTAAATGCGAATATTCTGGCTGTACTATTGTTGTCGGTGAGATCAGTATGTTATATGAACATTATTCCTTAGTCTCTGTGACATATTAGGAGGATTTTATGACTATTTGCTTTAGATTTCTTACATATAGACATATATACAAAAAAAAAAAATTCCCATTAGTCACTTAGACATACAAGCATGATAAAATAAGGTCCAGGTTGAAAAATACCAAGTTACCTGTTAATGCCAATGATTAAATCTTTTTGCTTTCTTTCTTTTATTTTCCAGTTTAATGATAAGATTTATTTAAAAGTAAATGAGAACACAGAATGAAACCATAATTAACCTGTTAAAGGATATTGTCAGAAAGGTCAGGTGTTATTGATCAACTGTGTTCTTTAGCCTCAACCCAGATAGATAAGGTAGAGTTTATATACTGGTAATTAAATAGTAGGATTGCCATCCTAAATGCTCCTCTATGTGCTCCTGGCAGCTGCTTCCTTGTATTACATTCATTTTAGTGGAAATGATGAACAGCACAGTGTGGGGTTTGCTGAATGATCATCAGACAATAATGTGTAGATATTACTGAGTGCTAGCCCATGTGCATGTACTCACAGAATCTCACAGTAGTTTAATAACTTACTTCACTGATTAAACCTAGCTTCCTGCACCACCCAAGCAGCTAGTGCTGCTAACGTCGCCAGGCCTGTAAAGAACTGCTGTTTTGAGACAAAATGATTCATGCAGAGTGACCTTCAATGTTCTGTAACAATAAATGTAATAAACTATGAGGTGTGTCTTCATTTCAAACACTGCACTGCGATTTGTTATAAATTAGAGGAGTCGAAAATCCTTACTTTACTTAACCACTGCAGAGGACTGACTGTTTATAGCCATACAAATTCAGATGATTATCATAACCAGCTTAAGATGTCTAAGATGTGTCCAGATGTGTTTGATATGGCATGCTTTTTTAGGTTGCAATGTTTTGGTGATGCAGATGTGACAATAGGAAAAACAGGCATTTGCGATCAGATGCTGAGCTTACTCATTCTTTAATCAAAAAAGTCAAAATGAACCTTAGCATGCTGATGTTAGCATTTAGCTTAAAGCACAGCTGTGCCAATGTTTTCTCTAATAGAGCTGCTAATATGGCTGTAGTCTCTTATCTTGTTAAATCTGAGGGGTACTGCAGCTCCATCCTGTGTGGCCAACAAGAAATATATGTAATTGTGATTTGGCACGATGAGATTTTGCCAAGTAAGACACTCCTGGATCAACATCCCAACCAATCACAGCCCTTTGACGTCATCAGTGTACTGCTCCTGTGCCTCTTCAGAACGAAGCTAGTTTTCCGGGGCGTCGGTAACGCAGTGTATAGTGCCGGCGTCCCATGTACAGAGGCATCGCCTCGCTGCAGCAGCCGCGGGTTCAAATCCAGCTCGCGGCCCTTTGCTGCACATCAGTCCCCACTCTCTCTCCCTATTTCACTCTCTGTCCTGTCAATAAGGCAAAAAAAAGAACAAAGCTAGTTTTCCAAATTTAAGTTAGAACCAAAATCATTATAAGCTACTGCAGGGTTAGCAAGTTAGCTTGCTAACTAGGTAGGTTATGCTAACAAGTAAGCTTGCTGAAAGACAAGAACATTAGCGAGCTAGCTTGCTGAGTAGGTATGCTATGTTAATGAGGAAGCTTGCCAATAGGCTAAAATATTAGCGAGTTAGCTTACTAACTAGGTTGGTTCTACTAATAAGTTACCTTGCCAATAGACAAGAATACTAGCGAGCTAGCTTGCTAAGTAGGTGAGCTATGTTAATAAGGAAGCTTGCCAATAGGCTAGAATATTAGCAAGTTAGCTTGCTTATTAGGTTGGTTCCATAGATATATATACGTAGATGCCGCATTCAACGGTGCTCCTCACTGGAGCGATACGTCAACGCAGCCGCCATCTTGCCCAGGTGGAGCCGCGCTGCCTAATGCATGTATGTCTATTGAGGCAGGAGATTATTTATGATTAAAATCATCATTACTCGCTGAATTCTCAACCGATTTTCATGCGGTTCGGTTTGTTACAATTGTCAGACATGTAGTTATGATACAGGATACTTGTTTAAATAAAAAAATGCAGCTTTTCATACCAAAATATTTGATCTTATGTAGATAAAGTAACTAATAGTTCTACAACACATTTAAACTAAACTTTACCCATGTAATAAATATTCTTTTTCTTACTAGATGTACAATGCCCACCATGATGTCATTTAATTATTAATTTTGACTATAAATGTTTATTCACATTTCACACAATGTGCAAAAAATAGTGTATCAGCAGGGTTGTGCCGAGCTGCAGTGTAGATTCTGATTAACAAATGTTGGTTTTGTACAAGTGAAAATAAATGACTTAGAGCTGCATGTTTACACAAAATTTTGCGTTAATCTCATATGTATAACACCACAGTGCTCATGGGAGCCTGGACACAGAACTGTTTACATTATTAGGTCATATTTACAAAAAATACAGTGTACAGTAGCTAGTATTATTTTTAGGAGTCTGCCCAGTCCTGTCGAAGTCCTCAGGTCTGAAGTGACAGCTGCAGATGACTGAGGAGTCGCTCGGGACAAAGTCCTTTCTCCTCACTGCTGCTACCCATGCCCGTCTTCTATCTGTGTTTTTTGGGAAACTACACACAAAATAAGTGTGTCAGAAAAACGCAGTTCCACATAATTTTTAGTTACAAGTTATCTACTAACGTTATACTGCGTTATGTCATGTTGGTGCCATGAAACAGATAGTTGACAATTTGGAATAACACATACACCAACATAGCTGTTTGACAAAGCATCATAATTTTATAAATAATATTATATAAATGTTAACCTTTTTTCTTTAAGTTGTGTGACATAGCGTTAGCTTAATTTGGCATTAGGACCAGATCAGGGGAACTGCCCATTGGTTCGACATCCCATTGTTCCGACCATATTAAACTCATTGTTCCGAAGTCCGTTCCGAAATCATCATGATGCCCTCTGGTTAAGGTCTGGTTAGGTTTAGGCACAAAAACCACTTGGTTAGGGTCAGGAAAAAATCATGGTGTGGGTTAAAATGAAAAAGAAAGTGGCAAACACATAAGCCGTGAGCCTGCTCCGCCTCAAGCCGGTCGCGGCGCACCATACGCCCGCCGCGAGCCGTTCAGCACCTCGGACAGTCGGACTAATGGGCTGTCGAACCAATGACATGGACCCCCAGATCAGGACAGTTACTTTACTTGATTAGCTTAAAAGAAGGATCACTTTTTGAGATATATATCTCATTAAACATGTTCGTAACAGTAAAATATTGTAAAACAACTTCTTACCTGTGGATTGTTATTCCCTTCTACTTGGTTTTAACACTTCTTTCGTTAGTACACCCAAATGCAGAGCAAAAATGTGGCATTTTTGCCGAGTCTGACATGGGTCTGTACCGATAAGAGCATCTAGGCAAGATGGCGGCGGTATTGACGCATCCCACAAGCCAGTGTGCGGCATCTACGTATATTTATCTATGGGTTGGTTCTACTAATAAGTTAACTTGCCAATAGACAAGAATATTAGCGGGCTAGCTTGCTAAGTAGGTATGCTACGTTAACAAGGAAGCTTGCCAATAGGCTAAAATATTAGCGAGTTAGCTTACTAACTAGGTTGGTTAAGCTAGTAAGTAAACTTGCCAACAGACAAGAATATCAGCGAGCTAGCTTGCTAAGTAGGTATGCTATGTTAAAGAGTAAACTTGACAGTAGACAAGAATACTAGCGAGCTAGCTTGCTAAGTAGGTGTGCTATGTTAACAAAGAAGCTTGCCAATAGGCTGGAATATTAGCGAGTTAGCTTGCTAAGTAGGTAAGCTATGCTAACAAGTAAACTGTTCACTGACAGAGTAAGGATAATTTCATTTTCAGTTGAAGATTCCTGCAATTAACACAATTTCCCACCTTTTTCCATGTGGATCCTGGATAGTTTTGATCAGATTTATACAGGACTAACTTACCATCATCATCATCATCATCATCATCACACCGATTCTGGATAATTTGTTAATGTCGGCATCAACATAGCAGTGATGGCCCTGGATCAATATATACAAATTATCCAGGGTCAACATGGCATTGATGTCCCTGGATTAACCTAACCAATTGCGCAGGATGAAGATGATGATGATGATTCTGGATCAACGAACAAATTATCCAAGGGTCAAAATGGTGGTGATGGTCCTGGATCAACTCAAACTCTGCAATATGAATAGGCTGTTAAAAAGGAGGAAAAATGTGTCTATCGCAGGTCTTTGCAACTGCAAATGATATTGGCGAGCTTACTTATTAGTATAGCCTACTTAGTTAGCAAGCTTACTTGATAATATTCTGGTCCATCAGTAAGCTTAGGCTACTTGTTAGCATAGCCTGCCTAATTAGCAAGCTAACTTGCTGACCCTGCAGTAGCTTATAAGGTTTTTGTTCAATGTTACTGAGCATTTTGTTCAATTGTACTAACTTAATTAGAAAACTAGCTTTGCTCTGAAGAGGCACAAAGGGATTTTGAAAGAGCCACAGGAGCAGCACACCGATGATGTCAGAGGTGCTGTGATTGGTTGATTGCAGTGTTTGTCCTGGAATACAATGTAGGATGGTTATACAGGAGCATGTCCTACTTGGCAAAATCACATAGTGCACGATATTTCCTACAGTAAATAAAATGCAGTGGTGGATATTCCAAAGTCAAACAATTATAAAAAGAGATGCTGAATGAGGAACATGTGGAACAATGCTCTCTCAGCTCTCATTAAAGAGATTATGACAGAAAAAGTGGTGACAT